CTATGTGATTCTGGCTGTTTCTGACCTAACATTAAGGTTGACAGTGGCTTGTTATATTAATATCGGGGATGAGGCTCAGGCTCTCTCTCTCTCCTAAGTTATAGCTGTTCCAAACTGTCAGCTCTCAAATTCTCAAAGACCTTCTGACTCTGCTGAAACTTCCAGAATTCCAAGAAATATACCAGATGTTACTTCCTGTCCACATAGCATCACTTCTCAGTGTAGAAAGGTGGCTATTCTTTGTTTGTGGATTACTTGATCTTAACTTAATACAGATTTAATGAATACAAAAGAGTCCAGTGAATTATATTGAACTGTTACAAAACACCATCTGCTCCAAAAGGCGTGTTGTGGTTGGTCAGCAACCATAGGAAAACTGTAATTTTAGGATTAAGATAGATGTATGTTGTCACTGTAAAACTGTTCAGTGAATTGTGAAAACAAAGACCCTAGTTTAATTAAACAATGTAGAATTAGGAGGCTGGGTGGGCCCCAGAGCCAGTCTGGATGATGTGAAGGGAAGAAAAACCTTGCTTCTACCAGGACATAAATTCTGACCCCTCAGCTATCCTGCCTGTAGGCAGTTGCTATACCGACTACTATCCCGGCTCCAAGAAGTGAGGTTGTGGTCAGTATCCCCAGAGCCAGTCTGGATGATGTGAAAGGAAGAAAAACCTTGCTTCTGCCAGGACAAAAATTCTGACCCCTCAGCTGTCCTGTCTGTAGGCAGTTGCTATACCAACTACTATCCCAGCTACAAGAAGTGAGGTTGTCAGTATCCCCAGAGCCAGTCTGGATAGTGTGAAAGGAAGAAAAACCTTGCTTCTACCAGGACATAAATTCTGACCCCTCAGCTATCCTGCCTGTAGGCAGTTGCTATACTGACTACTGTCCCAGCTACAAGAAGTAAGGTTGTGGTCAGTATTAAAGATAAGAAAATAGCCCATATTAAAAATGCTTCAGGTGAATATTTTGGGGAAATACAAGTTGAAGATTTAAATTGCTCTAGCAGTATGTTGGGGTGCTCTCCAGTGACCTCCAAAGAAAGTACATAGTGTTGCAAAAGTAAATAGAATAGGTTATGGAAAGAAAGAGTTGCACAGGCAAATTAAGTTGTCATTTCTGAAGTTCCCATGGTGCTAAGTTTGCCTAGTACATGATTCTCTCAAGTCCTGGACAATAAGAATAAACAAGTGAAGCATGCAATGATTTTTTACCTTAATGGATGAAGTAAAGCGGAATGTGCAGTATCGTCTAAACAGGAGGTTCCAGAATTGTTGACGCTGTTCCCAGGAAGCTAGACAGGTCAAAGGACAGTAGGTGAATTTGGAATTTCTAAAAGTATGGTAAATTAAGTTTGTATATTGAAAATGGAACAAGGAATTCTAGCTGAACCAGCAAAGAATTTTGGAAAAGCACTTTCTGAAGAAACTACAGAATGTAAAGTTGGTATATGAAGCTGAAGAGTTTTCTTGAATGTGTGCAGGAAGAAAGAATATGGGCTAGTCAAACCTGCAAGCTCAGAAAGGATTCTTAAACAGTAAAGGGTGTTGTAGGATTTGAGGGTCTAACAACAGTGGTTGTAGTATAAAACAGTGCATTATGGTGAATATCAATCGATGGTTTAAGCAGATATGTCTCCTGTGTCCTAGAGGGTCAGAGAAAGAAACTAACATGAAGCAGGCAGCAAGCACACTTGCTTGCTACCTATTTCATGCTGGTTTGTGGCATGGCTTGGCATGGCAGTACAATGAAAAATGAAGAATGTAGTTTAACTGTGTTTATATTGGCTGGTAATGTCAAGTAATTTGATAGTTAAAAGTTTTCAAGGTTGTTTCATTTGCAAATTACAGGGAAATGTTTATTGCCTGCATACATCAAAATTTATCTTTCATCATTCCAGTGAAAGTCCACCATGCTATAAATTTTATTGTGTAATACAGTCTTTTGTTTGTTTTGCATAAAAGTTAGCTGCTTAAATGTGGTCCCACATTGATTATTTAATAATAATAAAACAAATAATGCCAATGTTGTAACTGTCAAACTACTGCAAATGCATGTGTGAAGTTTGTACTGGTAGATTCCCAGAGGAAAGTACAGCTGCACACCAAATTTTATAATTCAGACTTTACAAATAATAGAGGTGATTCAATGTTTGTGAAGGAAAGGCCTACCACATGTTGCAGTGTATGTAATTTCATTAATTAATATGTAGGGATTTATTAAGATAAAATTGAAGTGGCCTCTGTAGTCTAGAGGTAACGTTCCCACCTCATGACTCGTGGTACGCGGGTTCAAACCCGGCGGAGGTCGTCGAATTTTTAAGGGCGGAAAAATTCAGGGAACAAGTCCTCCGGGAGGGACTTTAAGCCATGTGTCCTGTGTCATAGCTTTACGGCACGTAAAAGAACCTCATATCTCCAAAGGAGGTCACTGAGCCAAATTCAAGGATGTTTCCCACCCAACAAGTAGTCTCTAACACCTCTGATAGATGGGGGAACCATTATAGATACCGCCAAGCTAGTGGAGGCCGAACTCACTGGCTCGGTCGGGACTGATGGTACGCACCAATATCGGTAGGATATAGAGACTGGTAGAATATCATAGAGGGAAGCACAATGGACCAATACTGGTCTAAGTGCATGGGGAAACCCACCCTCTCCAATAACTAACTAACTAAGATAAGATTGAAGCTGGAAGAACTTCTACTGCGTGGCCACATTCATAATAAGGTTTGGTGATGACATGTTTGACAGCACTATTTCATTTGATATGGAATGAGTTGTGTAAACTTGACCAGTAGATTCTCAAAGAAAAGTACTGCTGGACACCAAATTTTACCTTATCTTTTGGACCTTAAGATGTGCCTAGGTTTTAGAGGGCAAATTTTTGTAAAAAATGTTCTGTTACATACATTTGAAATTCAAATTCAGAAGTGCCTGCTAAACAAAGCAGCAGTGCAGCACCAAGATTTTACTTGTTATAGATCCCCAGAAAATCTTTGTCACTTCTGTCACACTCGTCGATGTTACTGTCTATACTTCTACTTTCATTGCCATTGCTTTCAAGGGCACTGCTAGCACTACATTTCTTGAAAGACTATAATTGCCTGATGTTTCACTGACTTCTATAATGTTTTCACCCACTTTCAAATCTGTCATGGTTGGTCGCTTCATTGTCCTGTTGGTGTCATATTGTGATGTAGTGCCTCCACCCTGGTGGTACAGTTGGTTTGTTAATTGAGGCATCCATTGGATGCGATTGGGTAGTGAAGTCTCCTGCACTCACAGCTTATTGGGTGTTTAATTCCTTAATTGCCCCTCCTCTTGCCTCCGTTATATGTGCCCTGAACTGGTCACTCACCAAAAGGGCTGGCTTTTTCAGTAGGCACCTGGACATTTTGCTCATACTTCTGTTGCTGCAGCATTATTCCATTTTTGTCCATCCATCCTTTAGAGTGAATGTGAATAACTATTTCTCTTGGAATTTTATCTTTTAGTATCAATTTGTGTCCTTATATAAGCAATGAGGTAGTTTTGTTTCATCAGTACGGCATGCTAAAATAGCAATGGAATTGCCAGAAGTTTTAATTGCGATAGATTTAGCACCCTAAGTGTCTACAGTCCTGTTCAGTGGAACATTTCTGATGCATCTCTGGTACCCATGCAGATTAACTCTGATAACAATGTTACTAGGAAGGAAAACAGAATGTAACACAGAGACTTACTTTACAATATAAACCTCAGAGCTTCATAACTTGTACTCTTCTCCAAGTATAATTAGTATGATCAAGTCAAGGAGGATGAGGTGGGTAGGGCATGTAGCATGAATGGGGGAGAGGGAAAATGCATATAGGATATTGGTGGGAAAGCCAGAAGGAAAGAGACCACTGGGAAGACCAAGGCATAGGTGGGTGGACAATATTAAAACAGATCTTAGAGAGATAGGATGGGATGGTATGGATTGGATTGATCTGGCTCAGGATAGGGACCAGTGTAGGGCTGTTGTGAACACAGTAATGAACCTTCGGGTTCCATAACATGCTGGGAAATCCTTGAGTAGCTGCAGAATTGGCGGCTCCTCCAGAAGGGCTCAGCTCCATGAGTAAGTAAGTCCGTAGGTATTCATTATTGAAAATATACACTTTTAGGCATTGAGGCACTTGTCCCATTGTTTCACAAGCCCCTGAAAGGTAGCAGCATAAAATACTTTGGGTTGCTGTTGGAACCAGGCGGTGACTTCCCTTTACAGGGAACATTTACCTCCTGAGGATGTTACAGTAGGAGTCAGCAGTACATAAATGCCCAACTCCTACTGTAACATCCTCAGGAAACTTTGTAAGGCCATTCAATGGAAGCGACCAGGACTCCTAACCAAAGGCATGTTGCTTTTGCATGACAACGCGTGTCCCCATACTGCTAACAAGGCAATTGAGATGCTGCAAATTTTCAAGTGGGAAGTCCTCGAGCATCCTCCGTATAGCCCTGACCTTGCTCCAAGCAACTTCCATTTGTTCTCTTAAACATCTTTTGGCTGAACATTTTCCTGATGATAAAGCTGTAGAAAGGGAAGTCACCGCCTGGTTCCGACAGCAGCCGAAAGAATTTTATGCTGCTGGTTTTCAGGGGCTTATGAAATGATGGGACAAGTGCCTCAATGTACAGGGACATTATGTTGAGAAATAAAAGCATTTTTCAAATCAGTGCTCTTATTTGTTTAAGTTCTATATCCATTTGTAACTTACTTATTGACTTACCCTTGTATATTGGCCATTATCAGGAAGGGCTGCATTAAGATTTTACAGTTTGTTGATGTCTTGTGCTTCACAGAAACCCCTCACATTTTTCTGTTAGAGGCATTTTACGTATAGTTCTCGAGATTAACATTAGTCATACTTGTTACTCTTCTGCAGCTTGATTAAAATATAGAATGTTTATGTGAGATTCAGTGTTGAATATGAACGTGATGCGTACGTTTATTATGACCTTCTTTTGGAGCAGGTATCACGCTGTTCAGAGTGTGATTCTTCGGGCCCCAATCTGTGGCTTTGTCTGCACCGCGGATGCTATAAGGTTGGCTGTGGAGAGGCACATAATGATCATAGCACCTTGCATAACAAGGTTGGTATAAGTAAATGTTTTCATAATTTGTATTGGTTAGTAAACATACTGACAGTAAATAGAAATGAGTTATTTTGAACTGATGCACATCTTTAGAATTCAGTGACAAGGTTACAGAATTTTAAGCAGTCTGGGATTTGTTGTATAGAGTAACTGACCATGATGAGATGTTTCTTACCAGAATTTTATAATTGTCAACATCTTGTCAGATACTAGGCCATGTGGTCTGTTGTGGTTTCAAGCCATCTCTTAAGTGATCTTGGGAAACATCTCTCCCTCTAGGCTTGTACGATATGTTTTAACATCCTGTTGTTTAACATTCTTTGTGCATGTTTTTGAGTTAATTTTATAACTTTGTATACATTTTATGATTGATTCATTGATTGCTTGTCTTGAAAAATATTTTTATTTCATTTATGAATTAGAAATGTAAATGTCCACAATTGACCAAGTTTTTTTTTAATGTGTAGATAGTTCCCAGAATAATAGATTTTTTCTTTTTGTGTGTTTAGTACTTTGCTAAATATATATCAGTAAGTTTTCAGAAAATGTGATTTCTTAAACTCTTTAGTATGGCATACAAAAGAGATTGGTTTGAGTATAAAATTCCAACCACCAGGAAAGTCCTTACCACCATGCACGATCTGCAGATGGGCCATCCAGCATTTTTCTTATATTTGCTAATTTTATCTATAAAGTTGTATAGTAAGCCTGTATTATGTATTTTTTCAGGTTTTCATTGTTTAGCAGTTTAGTTTTCACAAGTAGAATTTTGTATTATAAAAGCAGTTAGTATATAAGAACCTGTAAATATTTCAATTTTCTTAGGAAATCAGTATACTAACACTTAATAATATTTTCTTTCATTCCAAAAAAAATAACACATAATTTTACCTATTTTCTGTAATTGTTTATTGTATGCTTCTCATTTTGGATATGTTTGTGTGTGCCCATAGACTGGGGAGACCCTAACCCCATGCTATACTAAATAGGTGTTTTGTGTTTACTGTGTGCATATAATACCTGGTACAGTCATTAATTTAGTGGACTATGGTTTCATCTCATTATATTACAAGGTATTCACATACACTTACACAGATCTACATTGACCCTCAAAATAGTTGTCGTCGGCCGCTATGCAAGTCTGCCAATGTTGATATAGCTGCCAAAAACAGTGCTGAAACATATTGGCGGGAAATTCCCGTACAGTGTCTCTTGTGGCATTGACGACCTCCTTGGATGACTGAAATCTACGACCACGTAGTTTTGCTTTCAAGCAGTGAAAGAGAAAGAAATTGCTTGATGCGAGATCAGGTGAGTGTGGAGGGTGTGGCAAAACGGTGACTGTTGCTTTGCCAGTTCCTCTTGGACAAGAACAGAGCAATGTCCAGGGGTGTTATCATGTAGCAACAGTCAATTCTTCCTACGCCAAATGTTTTGCTAGGGGATTTTCCTAGTTTCTGGCAGAACTTGATGTTTGCCGGTTGTTCAAACCGCAACATTTTCAATATCTGCCACTCGCATGTAACTGCAGTTCACAACAGAGGCTGTAGTTCTGCTTACACTGTTTGCACACAACTGCCTCTTGCTGTGACGAGAGATGAACTAACAGGGCATCATATCGTGCCACAACCTGTCCACTGTAATGCATTGCAACGCCGCTTTGCGGCCAGTCCATGAAATTATTGACTGTGGTAGTATGTTGTACCTACACAGTGTTTGGTAAGAATAAAATATTTGAACCCAACATTAGTTATTGTGTCATTGCATATAAGAATTATTTACTTGCCCAGCTCTAAATTAAAGTACTTTATTAATAGACATATGGCTTATGTAATGTGATCCATATATTTGGTTTTTAAAAGTTTTTCTACAGAATTTTAATCTTTCATGAATTTTAAGCCACATTTTCATGTAATTAAACGTGATACTGATTTTATATGACATGTAAATTACACTTACAAGCTTTAGTGGCTTATAAACATTAAAACACCCATGTGGATTCCTTATGTGCTCAAAATAATGTAACAATCACTGTTAGTGTTTTAACTTAACTGTAGTTTGGTTGTAAATGTATTTCTAATTGTTTATATGTCTTTAAACATTTTATTTGAAACATTAATGGAATAATTACAATAGTAGTGCATGTATTGTAGCACCATCTTGCATAAAATAACCATATATCTCGTCATCTTTCATTATGCTCTCAAGAAAGTCAAAGAATATCATTGACATACCACACTGAATTAATAGTCTGTTCAAAATATGTGGGTGTACTATTTGTATGGCAACAATGATACACAATACACCAGTCTTCAGATCATGAAAGGCTACTTCAGAATTCTGTCTCAGAATAATACTGTTCCAATATCTGTTGTTCAGAGCATCGATATACCTACTCAGGTGGAACCAGATTTCTTCAGTAAAAATGAACCTGATCAAGTCCCATCTGCAGAAATAAATTACAGAAGTGTATTTTTCATTCCTAATTTCCATCTTCAGTTACTCGAAACTGTCTTAAAGTAATAGAAGTAACTGTTGAAACCTGTGCCAGTTGAGCTAATTCTGTCAGGCATTTTTGAGGCAGATTTTCTAATATGGCTCCAGTATTGGTTGATTTTTCCTCGGTTACTGCAGAATTGTGTGTAGTGCACTTATTTTCCAAGAAAGACCCAGTTAAATGTGTTCTCTTCACCAATGCAGAAATCCCTGATGAAGCTGGATTTATTATGATTTATAATGTTATATTGCAGCATCCTGTTGCACTGCATAGCTCTGACTTTGTGTTTTGCTTTTATTTTGTCTATGTGCAGCATCGGTTATTGTTCACTTGTTTTTTCTTTATTGACACTACATGCGTCAGCCTAACTGGCAGCAGCAGAGATATTAATCGCAGAAACACGTACACCTGAAGATGGCCGGTTAGGCCGAAACATGCGGAGTCGATAAAGAAAAACAATGTGTGAATAGTAACCGACGTTGCACATTAACGGCATAATAGCAAAATGCACCCTCAGACCTGTACGATTTAAATTGTAAAATCATGAATTCATGGTTTTTGGTAGCATCTGAATACAGACAGGAGTCATTTAATGGACAGTATTGATCATGCTATTACCACAGTATCATGTTTGCTCTACTACAACTGTATCTACACTTTAAAGGAAAATGTATTTATTAAGTTTGTGGACGCGGTAGCATAGTGGTTAAGGTACTATGCTACAAGTCGGAAGGTCGCGGGTTCAAATACCGTTGAGGTCATTGGATTTTTTTTCAGTTGACCTAATCCTTCTGGCTGCACTCAGTCTCTAACAGAAATGAGTGCCAGGAATTAAATAAATAATTTTCCTGTGGAGTAAAGCGCGACCGGCACATAAGGCTGACAACCTTACCGCCATCTTTGAGCCAATTGAATTGTCTGAGATAATGTGGGACCCTCAACGTCTCACAACCCTATGGGCCTTCATGGCCTGTTACAGGGATAGTTTTACTTTTTTACTTTTACATGAAAGATTTATTTCATTTTTAGATTAGATATTTAGATTCATTTCATGATTTTGTTGTTGTTATAATGTTGGTGATTGTTCTAGAGTTGTTACAACCACTACATTCAACTGAACTTGTCTACAAACCGATTATGGTGTTATCAGTGTGAGAATGAGGTATTCTTGGAGAATGGAATGAGCCATATTCGCTCCAGTAGTTGTGTCATGAGTCCTGTGTTGACACGCTACAATTCTCAGACAATTGGACCTACAGCTGATTCTGGTGACAGCAGTGACAGTGAAGATAGTCATGATGACAATGGAAAACCAAGAGGTCAGATTAGTTTGCACATATGTGTTTGAAAATATTGCAATGTGTTGGTGAAATTTTCTTTGTGCAGATTGTCTTTCTGAATGGGATTGATTGAGTTTTGTTTATAAGTTTTTTTTGTTGCCATTTTGCTTTTGTACACTTCTGTGTGACACTGTGTTGCTGTATATTTTATGTGGATCTTATTGGTATTCATCATGACAAATTTTTTAGGATCATTGGGAGTTATTGCTATGACATTTTGCTGTGTAGTGTTTTATTTACTGGATGAAAATGTTTTTGTTTTCAAAATCATGATTTGGAATTTCAAAAGATGATAAATATTTGTCTTGTTGAATATATCGTTTAGTATGAAGGTTGGAGGTGTTGAATGTGGCAGTATTATACCCTATAGCACTCTTCTTGCTCCAAACCACTTTTTGTTGTGAAGTAAAGTGACAAATCCAGAGACTAATGGAATGCATAAGTTAAGATTAAAAACAATGTACTTTCTAATGTAGTGCACAGTATTCCCAGTGACGTTCTTTGCAGTTTATTGAAGTTGCAGTCATTCATCAGATTGGATTAATGATTTATGATGTGCATGAAAAAGGCAGTTCATGTTCTTTTTTTATTCCACTAAGAATACCTTAAAGTTAAATGTTTTGAAACATTTTAATGCTGGTTAAACTCAAAGGAAAGTGTGCTTGATCACATTGAAGAGTAGTGGAATCAGACTAAATTTATTGGATTAAGTGAAGTTTTGTTGTGCGTTGTTTGGTTTTTGACCCCTTTCCCCTTTAAAGCCATTGTTTGAAGTATTGCTGTAGTCATTAAGAACACATTTATGGGTTACACCATTACAAAGGGAAACTATCAAAGTTTTTTACTGATTATATAACTCATCATTAAATAAACAAAGAGTAAATACAGTTTTAATGAATAAGGTTCACTTCTTTACAGTAGGCATCTCACTGTAATGAATTATTTTCAGGTCTTACAGGATTGCAGAATATAGGCAATACTTGCTACATGAATTCGGCACTTCAGGCACTGTCCAACACTCCACCATTGACACAGTTCTTCTTAGATTGTGGTGCTGCTCTAGTTGCTGCCAACTGTGGTGAAAAGAAGCCTGGACTGTCTAGGAGTTACCATAGGCTGGTGCAAGAGATGTGGCATCGCAAACGTCCTGGATATGTGGTTCCCTCAGGAATCCTGTATGGCATACGTAGTGTAAGTTAAAATATATTCTAGAAATCTTCACTGTTTTCTGTAATTCCCTGTTTGTCCAAAATGGGGGGACAGAAATGAAGTGCAGAATGGTGAGTTCCCTTTAACAAGAATTTGTTCTGTGGTTACTGTATGTACATAACACACTTTCTAATGCTTTCAGTGCTAGCAGTATTTTGGGTTATAAATTCCATCTAGGCCATGTATTACGTATGAAAATTGTATTTTGTATTTACAATTTACTTCTATTTGGCATAAAGAAAAATTGCCTGATCAGTGGAAGGAGTCTGTTATTGTACCAGTTCACAAGAAGGGTGATAAAACTGACTGTAGTAATTAACTGCTCTCAGCTTCATATAAAATTTTGTCCAATATTCTTCTTTCAAGGTTAAGTCCATATATAGATGAAATTATTGGGGATCATCAGTGTGGGTTTTGACCTAACAGATCAATTACAGATCAGATCTTTTGCATTCATCAGACATTGGAGAAAAAATGGGAGTACGGTGAGACAGTGCATCAGCTGTTCATAGACTTCAAGAAAGCCTACGATTCAGTTAGGAGGGAAGTATTGTACAATATTCTGATAGAGTTTGGGATGCCCATGAAACTAGTTAGGTTCATTAAAATGTGTTTAAATGAAACGTATAGTAAAGTCCATGTAGGTAAACATTTGTCTGATAAATTTCCTATCCAGAATGGTTTAAAACAAGGAGATGCTTTATCGCCACTCCTTTTCAACTTTGCCTTAGAATATGCAATTAGGAAGGTCCAGGGAAACCAGGTGGGACTGACGCTAAATGGGACACATCAGCTGCTGGTCTATGCCAATGATGTGAATCTACTGGGTGATAATGTAGATACTATAAAGAAAAACACACAAACTTTAATTGACGCAAGTAAAGAGGTTGGTCTAGAAGTAAGCACTAAGTATATGTTACTGTCTCGTCACCAAAATGCAGGGCAAAATCATGACATAACAACAGGAAACAGATGTTTTGAAAATGTGGCACAGTTCAGATATTTGGGAACAACGATAACAGATTGAAACCTGATTCAGGAGGAAATTAAGAGGCCATTGAACTTGGGTAATGCTTGCTACCATTCAGTCCAGAACCTTTTGTCTTCTCGTCTGTTGTCCAAAAACATAAAAATTAGAATATACGAAAGTATAATTTTGCCTGTGGTTCTGTATGGGTGTGAAACTTGGTTTCTGACATTAAGGGAGGAACATAGACTGAGGGTGTTGAGGAGAATATTTGGAACAAAGAGAGATGAAGTGACAGGAGGTTGGAGAAAACTGCATAATGAGGAGCTTCATAACTTGTACTCTACTCCAAGTATAATTAGAATGATCAAGTCAAGCAGAATGAGGTTGGGCAGGTCATGTAGCACAAATGGGGGAGACGAGGAATGCATATAGGATATTGGTGGGAAAGCCAGAAGGAAAGAGACCACAGGGAAGACCAAGGTGGACAATATTAGAATGGATCTTAGAGAGATAGGATGGAATGGTTTGGATTGGATAGATCTGGCTCAGGATAGGGACCAGTGGAGGGCTCTTGTGAACATGGTGAAGAACCTTCGGGTTCCATAAAATGCTGGGAAATTCTTGAGTAGCTGCAGAATTGGCGGCTCCTCAAGAAGTGCTCATCTCCATGAGTGAGTGAGTAAGTAAGTAAGTAACACTTGAAGGACCAGTCACATGATATCATGATTTTAGGACATGTTAGGTTGCAGTACATTATACCTTGCTCTCTTGCCACGTAGCTGTATCACTACTGGATAATAAGACTCCGGAATATTTGCTTAGTATTCAGTAACATGACGTCACTGTTATCTTAACCCATTCCAAAGGAATTGTCAGTCTTCAAGCTGTTTGTACCAGCCAATAAGTTAGTAGTGGAATATGGATCAAGGACGAATTCTTCTCCGATGAGCTAGCTTACGTGCCTTGTGAGACTCATAGTGATGGTGACTCAGACAGTTGCAGTGACAGGGGACAACAAAGAATTGTGGCTACAGAGAGTAAAAGTGACAGTAGCTCCAACAAACATGCAGGTAGTAAGATTGCAGGGACAGCAAAAAATCTAAAAAAAAAAATCACAAAATTCTAAACCCTGATTCAAAATTTAAACACAAAGCATTCCTGATGAATGTGTGCAAAGGCCTGGGCTACAGACCAGATGGTGGTGGCAGAACCAGTGTCAGACACAGACCTAGTTCGACTGGGCCCATCAGCTCCCACCCCATGCAGGCCTCATGTGGACCTCACCAGGGCGACTCTCGGGTGATATGTGGAAACATACCCATGTGAAAATTGTGAACATTCCAAGGGGAAGCGTCCCTCTAGGCAATGCCGTGTTTGCACAGTTCACAAAAAAAAGGAGTATGACTGTCTACATTGCAAGTTCTATGTAATACCACTTCAGAAAGGGGAATTTTTCCAGAAATATCACACTCCCAAGCACTTGTAGCAGCATTGACAAGTGTTCTCCAAAAATTTTAGTTCATTAAATTAATTAGGAGATTTTATATTAATTTTTAAAGTGAAAAGTGCAAAAGTTGGGATAGTAGGTTTAATAATGCTGGTCCCCAGGGTGATATAAATATTTAAATCGCCGGTCTGCGATGTGTTAAAATCAGCCAGTAGGAAATTAATTGTCTGGAAGAGAGGCTGTCACTTCAGATCCTTCACAAGGGATGAAGTGATGCTCCTGCAGGAGACAAGTCTTTGAAAACTTGGCATTTTGAATTGATTGGAGGCAGATGTCATTGGACTGCACTCCTTATGTTTCTCTAAATTCATCAGTATTTCACTTTGGATCATTAAAATTTGATAATAGTAAAGGGCCATATTACTCCGTGCTTGCAAAGAAGTTATAATATTTTGTTTCTGAATAAACAAACAGTTTCTGGACAGTGGAAGTTGTGTTGTTGATTTTGAGCAGTGGACTAACTTCAAGTGTGCAGTTTCCGGTTACCTCAGTTATTACCACAACACGATCCTGATAGGAGTCAAGTGGTCTACCAAAGCCGGCACATAAGTACAAAGAAAGTAAAGGGGGACAGTAACAATTCTTAGAGTTGTGTAGACAGAACATGGTAATTAGATCCTGACTGAGGTTGTTTGTAGTTGTCCTCAGTTGCTTCAGGCAAATTCTGGGACAGTATAAAAAAATTAAGACCTGGCTACATACTTTTGCATCCCTTCCAATAACTATTCACTGATTATCCTACCATTCACTGCTTTATATTCTGACCGACAGCTTTGCTGTATGGACCGCACATATAAGAGCAAATATCTACCATAAGATGAAAATTTCTGGGGCAGTCATAGAGTGCTATAAAATCTGCAATTGTTGATGACTGCAACACAGTACATGTTTTGTAACAGAGTTGCAGAATAGGTGCCAACTCAGTAACCAGTGGTGCCTTGATAAAAATAAACTTCCTATAAGCTATCTGCAATAACCATTGACCACCCATAAGAAAGCAATTGCAAAGTTTTGTCTCTCACTCATGACAAAGATGATTGTACTACTTACCCAGGGTGAAAAATGTGATGTTGACCTGTTCACAATTGCGTGCTTTAGGGTTTATCACGCTGAAGTGAATTTGTGATGGTAGTACCTTGGTGTGGGACAACTAGGATTCACATGGCAGATGGGTAAATACAGGGTGGGGCGCAGAAACTTCCTTTTTTTGAAGGCAAATAAAAGAAAAATTATTGCTAATAGACAAAATTTATGTTTAGCTAATGAAAGAACATACTTTAAAGTTTTAAATCATGTAGGTTTAAACAAAATATCTTGAAGGTGGTGACCACTGTTCTCTATGCACTGATGCAACCGTTTTCTGAAGTTAACCTCTGCACGTTCCAACATGTACACCGGAATTTGGTCTACTTCCTGCCGAATAACATTCTTCACCTGAAGCAGGTTTGTGGGGCAGTGTTTAAAAACCTCTGCCTTGAGGTATCCCATAAAAAAAATCACAGGGCGTTAGATCAGGTGTGTGCACTGCCCACGGGATGTCACCTCGAAGAAAGATGAGCTGTCCGGGGAACTTTGCCCTGAAAACTGTCATCGAAGCTCGGGCTGTGTGGGCTGTGGCACCATCCTGTTGGAACCAGACATTTCCTAGTTGCGTTTCTTCAAGAGCTGGTTCGAAAAAGTTTTTAATCATGTCCACATACCACTGTGAATTGACAGTAACTGCATGATTGTCTTCTTCAAAAAAATAAGGGCCAATAACTCCAACTCTTGACAGTGCACACCATACTGTCACCTTATCACTGTGAAGTGGCCTCTCATGGAGCTCTCTGGGATTGTTACCACTCCAATAGTGCATATTCTGCTTGTTGACATATCTGGATAGGTGAAAATGTGCCTCATCACTAAAGATGGAAATCACATGGTGACATTCTTGCGCAACAACCATCTTATAGGGATGGAAGTGAAGATGTTCGTGAAGAATTCGGCGCTTTGAACAATTAGATATGTCTAGGGCGACTGCATGTTTGCGAGTGGAGCATCTTGGAGATCTCAAAATCAACTGTCGAACTGCCTCCGCATTTTCTGGCGTCATAACGGTCCATTGTCGTCCTGATGACTTTTTCACCACTTTCCCAGTTGTCCTAAAGTTCTCTACCCACAAAACAATCGATTTATGGTCGGGAACCGGACCTCTGGGCTTAATTCTGAAGTGAATACATTACGCACGCTGCACCACCACGTAGGAATGGTTGTTTGAAAAATAGGCTTCGACAGCAAATGCACGCTGCTCACTCGTCCGCCTCATGTTTCCTACTGAGGGGTATTAAAGAGAAACTTCTGTGACTGCTGCGTTCACTGAGCCTATCCCCACTTTTTGGCGACCTCCCTTCACAATGCGCCTTCACAAAAAGAAAGTTTCTGCACCCCACCCTGTACTATAATATACACCTTCTGTTTTTTGATATTCCTGTTTTATAACTGGTTTTTACATTAGTGTGCAGTGAATTGGAAAGGATGTTGAAGGAACTGTTCATAATCTAATCTGAGACATTGTCCCAGCATTTGCCTGGAGAAACTGAGGAAAATTACAAAAAACCTCACTCAAGATAGTTCGTTTCCTACCTTGGATCTGAACTGGACATGGCAAAAATATAAGTCAGAAGCATTACCGATTGTTGAGCCAATGTACCTGATGCAGATTATTGAAAGTAATTTTATTGATTTAAAGGGTGTGACATGACTAGTTTCAGATTATGTGTTGATTATATAGGAAATAACACTTATGTATAAAAGGTGGTTCAAATATGACTGGGACTGATTTTTTAGAAAAAAACATAATTGCCAAACACTTACTTGCACATGTCAGTCTTCAACGTACTCCCCTCCAGAGTCAACACATTTTTTCCAACGTTCTGGAAGCATCCTGATGCCCTTTTTAAAAAAGGCTTGTGGTTGGAGGTGTATCCACTCCCGAACACTCTGGATGATGGCACTGTTGTCCACAAACCGCATTCCTTGCAAGTCTGATTTGAGCCTTCCGAACAGGTAGAAATCACTTGGGGCCAAATCGGGACTGTATGGCGGATATGTCAGAAGGTTCCATGTCAGTTTCCAGAGGGTTTCCATTGTTGTTTTGGCCGTATGGGGGCATGCATTGTCTTGAAGGAAGGCTACCTGCTTTCCACGTGTCTTCTGCTTGGATCGGATTTTTTCCTTCATGTCTGTTGCCAGGAGGTCTAAGTAATAAGCTGCATTGACTGTTCTCGCATCTGTCAGAAAGTCTACATGGATAACCCCCTGCCAGTACCAGAAGAACGTTGCCATAACTTTTCCTGCCGAACAGCTCCTCCGCGCTTTCTTGGGTTTGGGAGAACTGGTATGCCGCCACTCATGTGATGACTGCTGGGACTCGGGAATGAAGTAGTGCACCCACGTTTCATTGGTGGTCACTATAGACTTCAAAAATGCATCACCTTCATCTTCAAACTGCTGTAGGAGACGACTGGCAGCTTGCATGTGCACCATTTTGTTCACATCCGTCAAAGTGCGTGGTACCCACCATGCATTCACCTTGCGATAGTGCAGGTGGTATTTCATGATGTCTTCTACACTGCCAACACTGATGGACAGCATTGCTCCAAGTTTCTTGATAGCGATGCGCATCTTCTCATGAATAAGCGTGTCTGCACGATCAATGTTTGGCTCAGTGACGGATGTTCGCAGCCGACAATCATGTGGTTCATTCTCCACACGCTCTGCCCTCTCTGAAGCACTTACACCACTCAAACACATGGGTCCATGAGAGACACTCTTCCCCATACTGTTGTTGGAGTCTGTGGTGAATTTCAGCAGACGGGATGTTTTCTCCAACGAATTTGATCACAGTGCGTTGCTCCATGCTCTGCAATACCTTCCGTTCACTCATCACCCTAGCAACTCCCAGACAGGACTGAACAGGTTCTAACCCAAACAGGAGGGAGGGTGGAGGTTGTGGCTTCACTCTCTCAAGGTCGCACAGCTGCTACGCAGTGCCGCTTGTTTACACACAAATCAGTCCCGGACATATTTGAACCACCTTATATGTATATTTGTTATGTTATCAGTATGAAACTGCTCTTGAGATGTTCCATGTGATAAACATTTTAAGGTTATTATTGAGCAGTAAGAGTTTTTTGTGCATTTAGGTTCAACCAATGTTCCGGGGCTATCAGCAGCATGACACACAGGAATTTTTGCGCTGTTTTATGGATCAGTTGCATGGAGAATTGAAGGAACCTTTGCCAGAATCTTCTGCTTCAAATGTGTCTACTGCTGGAACAGGTTCAGAGAAGTCTTCTCAGAATGCAGGTGGAAAGTTACTGGGTTCTGGTTCCTTGGAGGAAATTTCAGATGAAGATGATGATCAGGATGATGAAAGAGGTGACAGTGGAGGGGGAGGTGGTGTATCCAGTCAATCAGAGGGTGAATATGAGACCTGTGATTCAGGTGTTAGTGAACGGAGTTCATTGAGTGATGAGGGTGAACGTGGTGGCAGCAGCGGAAGTAGAAGTGCAAGTAAACGCAAGTAAGTACATATTTTTGTACTATCAGATGAGAATATTAGCAATTTATTTGCACAAGATAAAACATCATTTATGTTAACAGATGTGAACCCTCTTTCATCAGGCATGGAACTGAAACGGATGTTTATGAACTATCATTCTTTTAGTCATGTCATTTGTCTGTGGGCTCTGAGCTTACAAGTGTAAAGGTATTAGAATTAAAGTTGTCCATTAAATAGACAGTTCAAGTGTCTGCCAATCTCAGACAGTGAAATTATATTTCAGACCTTCAGTGATCACAGATGTACAACCTGAGCTTCAGAATTGCTGTGTGTAGTGTCAATGAAAATTAGCCACAATTATGAAGTAATGTACATCATAAAATGTTATTATGTAGGCTATCACGGTCACCGTCACCACCACCAGAACGTTTACGATCAAAACTAACCGCATCTGGCTCCAAGAACTCCCACACAAACTCTGGAAATACATCCTCATCTCATGCTGTTGCCTCTGTTGGAACTCCTGTGGGTTGTTCTGGTACAGCAAATTTCAGTCCAGTCACAGTTCCTGGCTCTCCTCAGAGGGGAATGTCAAGAGGAAAGAAGGCTGCAGTAAAACATCGTTCCATCATATCAGATGTGTTTGATGGCAAGCTGCTGAGCTCTGTACAGTGCCTTACATGTGACAGGGTAAGTATTATTCCATTTTTATTTTAATCATATCTTCCTTAGAATTGAAAATATGAGGGTAAGTCAATAAGTAAGTTACAAATGGTAGGCCATGCCGTGTGAACACACCTGATTCCGACAGCAGCCCAAAGAATTTTGTGCTGCTTGTTTTCAGGAGCTTGTGAAATGATGGGACAAGTGCCTCAATGCACAGGGAGATTATGTTGAGAAATAAAAGCATTTTTCAGATCAGTACTCTTATTTGTTTAAGTTCTATATCCATTTGTAACTTACTTATTGACTTACCTACGTACAAAAATTAATTATTAACTGAAAACAGGGCAGCAGTAATGAAACTTGATACATGTTAGTACACAGTGTACATGTCAGCTATTACACATATTCATGTTTGATGATTTTAAGTTGGGCCACGCGTTATCGTAGTTGGTTGAGGCACTGTGCTACATGCTGGAAGATCGCAGATTCAAGTCCCAGTGAGGTGGATTTTTTCAAATTACCTAATTCTTCCAGCTGCACTATAGCCCTGGGGTCAACTCAGCTTTTAACAGATATGAGTACCACGAATCTTCCTGGGGGTAAAGGCTGGACAGTGCATATGGCTGACAATCTTACTGTCATCTGTGAGCCAGCTGTCTAGAAAATATGAGAGCCTCAATACCTCACAACCCTATGAGCCTTCACGGCCTGTTACAGGGATAGCTTTGACCTCTTTTTTTTTAACCTTTACTTTTGCTTTTAAATTAGATGTAGTTACAGTGACTATATGAGAGAGCAAGATTTGCAGTTGGATTTGTGTGATCCCTTTTTACATAACTGCATATTCTCTGTGGACTCAAATGTACCCATGATTTCAGTGTTATCAAATGTGTGGAAATGTATTTTTATTTTTATCCTTGGTGGCATGATACCAGGAATAACTTTTATATAGTAGGAATCTCCTTTTCAAGTTGAGCATATGAATCCTTCAGAGCTTATAGCACTTCACCAAAGGCTGAATTAATGGTTTGAATTATGTGGTAGAAATGAGTTCAGTGTATGAAATCATTCTCACTCTAATGAATGCTTGATATGATTGAGTAAAACTCTGTGACTTACAGAATACTCTGCATTATAAATGAGAGTCTCTTCAGCATGGGGAGTATACATAATTTCCAAATACATTATTTTGCATATTTCATTTTTGCCCTTTATGGTCACTTACTGTGGATAGAGATCTATTATTACTGATAAAAACCCATTACTGTGAAGCTGTTACACAGTAGGTATTTTACTGAATAGAGTCTGACAATAAAAGAGTGAAATAGAATTGGCGATGTACATAGAATTCATATTTGCTACATTTAATACTTGCTTATTATCCTAGCTTACTCACAGATTTTGAACAGAGTGTTTTATGTTGTGATCATGTGCACTGTATTACACTGCCATTTAAATCTTTTGAGAATATTGAGAAATATTGAGAAAACTAATTCTTATTTTATTCCCTGTAATGTGTTGATCAATAACCTTTATATTCTCTTTGTTCTTCAGTGTCTTCAACCATAGCACTTGCCAGTAAAATAAGAAGTAAAGTTTTCCCTCTGTGTAATTAAGCACCACATCATGAAATTATGTGAGGGAATGGAGATATAGCTACATACATTCCTAACTTCAGCGCTAGATGGAAGTGAGCAGTCATCTTGGTTGCATTTCTGTCAGATACAGAGCCCCTAGTACCCATTGGATGTGAAGTTGGGTGGCCTCCAGAGCAGATCTAGATGCAATGTAAAAGAGAAAATCTCTTCCTTCTGCCAGGAATTTAATCCCAGTTCAACTCTCTGGCCCATAGCCTAGTTACGATACCAGCAGTGCTGTCTCAGCTCCTAAGCATATACCAGTTTCGCTGTGTCTTTTCATAAGCCTTCATGAATTTGAACTTTGTTGTGAAATTGAAATCTTCGCATTTCTTTCATCTGGTGCAACAGCTTACTAAGAAATTTGTCACTCACAAGTCACAGTTACACAGAATAATACATACTGTTGCATGTTTGCTAGGCAACAGGACAAGAAATTGTGTGGTTTTCGGATTTGAATGAATATTTATTGGGCAGTCACTTTTACAGCTACAGTTAACGTCCTTTAGACGTTTCCTCTTCAATGTTATGACACACTCGCACCGCTATTCTTGGTGAAGTGTCTTCTGCTCTTGCCAAATACCAACTCTGCTCTTCTGAAGTCAAATACAAACTGAACTAGTCTCTTGTCACAGTTGGACTCTTATAACTCGCACTCAGACCCAATAGGGAATACCATGTCGAAGGGATAACCTCGCCCACTACTGTTGAAACCCTGCTTCAAGCTATTCATGTGTAACGGTGGAAAGTCCACTGTGCTAGTGTTCTGAGTCCTAGCCTCTGTCATGGGAATGTTGGTCATTGCCTAGGAGATCAACTCTGATCTCCTCAGTCATTTTGGCTTTCCGATGGCATGCCACAATATACTTGCTCACTATAGCTGTTGGGATGCTAATTCAATTTCTGTATGTTTGAGTATGCTGTATGTCAGGTTGTAGTCAATCATCTGGAAGTACTTTTTGTAGCAGAAACATATTATTTACATATTTTATGGTTCATGAGAGTGCAGTTAGAACCTTCCAGTAATTAGAAGTTCATTAGTACAAAAGCTTCTTAATGCTCCTTCAATGAAGCCAGCACTTGGCGTGATGGACTTTGGCTGTCATAAAATGTATTTTGATTAGGCTGTATTAAATAATGTGTATGTTTCAACAGATCTCAACACGTGTGGAAACATTCCAGGACTTATCATTACCAATTCCAAGCAGGGATCATGTTCACATGCTTCACCAAGGTACACTGACTCCTCAGCAGAAAGGAGGTCTTTCTGCTTGTTCAGATGTATATTCTGGAGACCAGGTATTATTACTAAGATTATCATATTTATACATGTAATTGTCAAACTTTCAATCACAGTTTTTTAATGCTCAGAATTCAGATTAAATATGTGGTGGAACACAGGAATTAAATTGAATTTGGCTTAATGCTTATTTTTATGGTAGCTGAAACTTTTTTTTGTCAAGCATATGGTTGCTTGTTCTTCTCATAAGTGCATAATGTTAAAGTCAGATTTTCACTATATACAATCCCAAGATATTTAATGCTGAAACATTTGAACATTTGATTTAGTGGTAAGGTTCATCAAGTGTAACAAGTTTAACAGGAGAATATAAAAGTTTGCCTTTCCATGTTTCGGCCAGGACTGACCATCATTACTTTTAACATATACAACTTACTTTGATTACATTAATGTTTTAGTTTCAGTTTATAATATTAGTAGAAATCTCTTTATAATGACTTACGTTCAAACATATATGTAAAATATTTCTGTATAGTATTCACTGTGCCTTCTGATGATGGCCAGTAAGGTAAAGCTATCCCTGTAACAGGCCATGAAGACCCAGAGGGTTGTGGGAAGTCGAGGCTCCCAAATTTTCTTTAGACATTCGGCTCACAGATGGCAGTAAGGTTGTCAGCCTTATNCCCCCCCCCCCCCCCCAGAAGATTTCTGGCACTCATTTCTGTAAGAGGCTGAGTTGACCGCAGGGCCATAGCGTGGTTGAAAGGACTAGGTAAATTGAAAAAAGAAATCCACCTCATCAGGAATTGAACCAGTGACAAACCGGCTTGTGTCATAGTGCCTCCACCAGCTTCGCTACCTCATACCCCGATGAAGGCCAGTAGTGGCCAAAAAAATCATGTAACAGCAGATTTTATATTTTTCTATTAAACATGCTACATCTGATAGATCTTACTACTTATTCATGCGTTAAGAATTGTAATGGCTCAAAATGTCTCTAAAAAATGTCTGATAATTATAGGTTGAAGCACTTCAAAATATGTAATTTATAAAAGAACAAAGCACAGTGTAGTGCTTGGAATGTAAACTGCTTTGTACCGTTTCAGTTTGTAGTCATTTCCTAAAAAACTAATACCAAAGTTCTAATTACTCATGTCCCTCTTAATTCTGACAGTGTTGTTTATCTGTGTTCTTGAACACTCTTGTGACAGATTGTTGCTTTTGGTCACTGTTTGAAGTCTGACAGATGGTAGCAGTTTCTGTTTACTGGCCACTGCTAGACAACATTACTGTGTGCTATAATTGTTTTTACCGGCCTGCTAGTAGCTACATACCATATGAAGAAGTCCAAGTGTCTGGTCAGAATTCCTGCTTGGCATCAGCAAAGGATTCATTTCCTTTTGAACTTAGACACTATTAGTGTAGCCTACGTATGATTCCTGGCAGAGTGAAGCTGTTTTCTTTTATTGCAGGTTGACATTTAGCCTTCTGCAAAATTTGTCAAATTTTGACATGAACAGTATAATGGTGAGTCAGGATAGTGTAGTTGGTATAGCGGCTGGCAATGGGCTGGACAACAGAGGGGTTGGAGTTCAAGTCCCGGTAGGGTCAACAATTTTCTCTTCTCCACTTCATCCGGACCATCTCTGGGGTCCACCCAACCTCCTATCTAATGGGTACCAGGGGCTCTTTTTCCGTGGGTAAATCGGCAGGGGCGTGAAGCTGACCGCTCACTTCCTGCTAGTGCCAAGGTCAAGAAAATGTGGATCTATACATCCACTCCCCCATATGTCTTGATGGCATAGTGCTTAATTAATTAAGCACAAGGAGAACTTTACCTTACCTTACGATATAATTTAGAAGAGATGTAAAAGTGTGAGGCCAGAAAGTTCAAGTGCACACTCATGTAATGTAGGTAGGCCCTAAAATTGTTTGCCCTTTTCTTATCCATTTGTTTTAAATTTTTTTGCCGTTCAAATTTCATCCAAAGGCTTGCTTATGTTGCAGGGATGGGTGACATGGTTATTGGAGTGGATCCGTAGTTGGTTCTGGGGTCCCACAGTCAGTCTGCATGATTGTTTGGCTGCTTTTTTCTCGGCAGATGAACTTAAAGGAGATAACATGTACAGGTAATAATTTTAATGGAAAAATAAGATTATGTAGGGTTAAAAAACATGAATTTTTGTTTCTGAGGAAACAAATAAAGGCCTTCTACCCCTTTTGCCTTTTTACTAAAATTTCAGCATAAGGTTGTTACAAATGCAAGAATGTGCATTAAACTAAAATTCGGTTTCTTTTCCTCTTTTTTTTTTTTAATGGCTTGTAACCAATTTGTGTCAGTGACACAATGATCATTTATTTAGGTTAATCATTGATTACTCCTGCTTTATTCCTGCTATAGTTCTAATTTTTTCTGACAGCCTATCATCAAGTACCACCTGTCATGTGTCTTCATCATAGCTTTGCTTGGCAAGATAAATAATATGTTTGGGAATTCCATATTTCTTAATGATGTTCCACATATTGGTTCTATTTCATGAGTCAAATGCCTTCACAGAGTCAATAAACATTAAATGCAGGTTATTATTGTATGCCATGCTCTATTCTATAATAATATGGAGCATATTAATTTGGTCTGAACAGGATCTGTTGCTTCAAAAGCCAGCTTGTTCTTTTCATAGTCGTTTTTCAATAATACTATTTATTCTACATAATACAATTTGAATCATTACTTTGCTTGGTACTGGTAGCAGAGTTAATTGTCTCCAGTTGTTGCATTGAATAGTGTCCCCCTTTTTTGGTATTTTGACTAACAGTTCATTTTTTCCATTCAGGTACAATTTTCTTTCCCCATATATTCTTAAGAAGCAGGTGTAATATTTCTGCATATGTTTCCAGATCTACCTTTAGGATTTGGAGGGGGGATATTATCCATTCCTGGTGCCTTTCCTGCTTTCAGTGCCTTGAGTGGTATTTTGATTTCTTCTTTAGTTGGTTCAGCTGTATTTATTCTATTATCCGCTTCCCAGTCTTCCATCTCTTCTGCTTCATCATCCTCTTGCTTCTCTTTTCCCTCACTTTTTGTTCCATTTATTACCTTTGAGAAGTGCTCATACCATCTATCTGTTTGTTCCTCTGTTGTATTTGTTAATAGTGTTCTTCTGTCTTTGCTTCTGATAGGTTGATTTCTGGGAATTTTCCATTGTGAAAGAGATTGAGTAATTTGGTATACTTCTTTCAAATAATTTTCGTTAGCAGCTCTTTGTGCTTTTTCAGCCAGATCGCTTGGCCATTTTCTTTGATCTGCATGTGCGTTTTACCTCTCTTTCTTTGTTACTGTGTTCTCTTTGTAATTCTTCTGTCTTACATATTAGCAGTTTTCTTTTTATATACCGTCTCTCCTCAATCTTCTTCCAAGTTTCTTCAGTCATCCCCTCTTATCTTAGGGGATTCCTGAATTCATGTACTTCTTCTGCAGTTTCTGTGTATATATCTCTGGTCTTCAACCACTGTTTTCCTATTTCATTTTCATCCATCTCTCCTAGCTCCTGGAATCTGTCCTGAAGTTGTAGTTGGAATGCTTCTTTTATTTGCTTATCCTTAAGTCTTCTCACAGCATATCTCTTGGATGTCTGGCTAAATCTGTATGTTACTTTCTTCAATTTGACCATCAGATTGGAGATCATTAGGTAGTGGCTGCTATTTATATCTGCTCCTCTTTTGTTCCTTGCAACCATCAAGGATGTCCTTCATTTTCTGTTTATTGCAATGTGGTCAGTTTGGTTTTATGTCCTTTTATCTGGTGATATCCAAGAAATTGTATGTATCTTTCTTTTTTTTTTTTGGTGGGGAAATAAAGTTCCACCTATGACCATTTCATTCAATCTACCATGTTTGTAATATTATATTTAAGCATCCTGTTGCACTCTATACGATATATGATATAAACTCCATCCTAAGTGCAACCATTTATTGTAGGTCTTTCATCTTGCTTTCTTCTACATTACATGTTTCGGCCGCAAACAGCCATCATCAGGTGTATACACTCACATAGCTGTTACACTGCACCCAGTTTAAAATTTAAAAAACATACAGGTCTTCTCAATTGTTCCCTTCGTCGCTGCTAACAGGATCTACTTCACTGATATTTCTCTGATTCGTACCTCATCTTTGCCACCCACACACATCAATTTTGACCTTCATGAACTGGCACTTTTAAAATCTTCAGTTCCAATTTTAAAAAATCTTTTAAAATTTTTCCCAAATTTAAAATTTAAAATTCTCAGGGTTACTCGCCCCAACGTCTGTAGTGCTGCAGCGGGTACTTCTTGTTTTCAACGCTGTACAGGTGTTATTCTGTGTAGTTTTCCTGTGTGCGTGCTGCTGCTTATCTTTACTACATGTCTTTCAGGAATGTAGGAAAGCAAGAAAGGCAGCTGAAGTATGAAGATGTGAAAAAAGAGATTTAGCATTGAATATCAGCAGGCTCTTCCACTAGAATTTATTAATTTCTGTTATGATTAATTCCTGTTTGTGCATTTAATATTACTGATCTTTTTTTTTATTGCTAATGGGGTGGGACTAAGTCCCTTGTACTGTGGCCACTTCTGGCCTATTGTACCAGCCCCAGATGATAGGTGAGGGTGATTGTGGAGCAGTTGGTGGAATGAAGATTGGCAGGTGAAATCGAAGTACTCGGAAAAAAACTGCCCCTGTGCCACTTTGTCCACCACAAATCCCACTTGACCAGACCCGGGATCGAACCCGGGCCGCCACGGTGGGAAGCCAGCGACTAACCTCTTGAGCTATAGTGCAGCCATTACTGATCATAATGCTTCATGAATGAAGACTTGTTGATGTAAAAGAATAAGTGATGAAGGTAGTAAAAGCTGAGAAAGAAATTCCTACAGAGCAACATATGCTGAACAGTTGGTTTTGTGGCCCCACAGTACAGACATAAACAAATTTGAATGTGAGACCCATTCAGAGTGTGATGTTTTTCAGAGTTTGTAAAGTAATTTATGGATAATATGACATATTAGGAATTCTCTTCTGTCATGATGCATTATTCACTGTGGTCAGTGGTAAGAAGTATGAAGAGCTTTGACTGATAGTTTCAGAAAGTTGGGACATTACTCAGTATAGCAACACTATGGCAGGTAGGCTGGAGACTGATTGTGCATGTCTCATTTGCCATTGGGCTAGGGGTGTGATAGGTCCCAGAGGCAGTATATATGGAACGTTTTGAAGTGGACTAACATTGAATTTTGCCAGCATTTGGGAAAGTTGGTTATGAAAATGCTACAGATGCTTTGGACCATGTGTTATGAAGAAGCAGTGTCCTGGTCTAGGGTGTTTTAATGGAAGTCATGAACTGTTGGAAGGTGCATAAAATAAATGATTTGTGACAGCATAAGACAGGTACAGGAGGTCCACTGATATGTTGGGTTTTTGGACTTTATCCATCGTCCTGGTTTTTAAGATAACAAATAAAAACACGGCGTTTCAGAAACTGGATCTGTTTCCGTCCTCAGGTGAAGGAAAACACCTATTCAGTTGGGTCCATTAGAAAGAGCTAGCCTCAATCACTGGACAAACCGATGTCACAAAACATGAAGATTACCCAATATATCAGTGTGTTATACACCATCGTCAGAATCCTATAGTAACTACAGGTACAGGAGGGTATGTGCTCTGATTTATGTCAGATGGGGAGACAGCTGCAGAGAAAGCTTGAATTTCAGTTGGTAGTTGCAACAGCATTGCATCTGACAAAACATTGTATCATCAGAAATGGTGATAGAGAAACAATGTGTGAGAATCAGTGTTGAGATTATCAGCATGGCAGATAACAATCCAGACTCCTTTTGTAGGAGTGTAACTGGTGACAAAACCTGATATTTCATGCATGATCCCCAAAGAAAATTACGGTGCTTTATGTGAGCCGCCATTATACCCAAGAGGTGCTAAGCTTCAGAAGCCCCCAGAAATGTGATTTGCTGAATACCGGATGCTCATGTGTTACAATGATCTAGCACATTGATAACTCACTGTGCATGGTACTTCAGTGCTGTCCCACCAGTTTTATTCCCATCATCTTGCATTTTGCAATTTTTATCTGTTTCTGCTCATGAAGGATTGAAAGAACAGTTTTCATTTCAACGATTCAGTGATGCTCAAGTGACTTCAGAGCGTGTGATGTAGAAATTTATGCTTGATGCTTCGTGAAGCATTTGAAACAGATGTGAGAATTAAGTTTACAGGTTTCAGAGATGTGACAAGATTATAATCTTAACGCTGTTGCGAGAACATTAAATTCCATCTTTGAAATGCTGATAGAAGTATGTAGCTGCTGAATAATAGAATGTTGAAAGCGATAGCATCTAAGGGTTTTGTGCTGGGGAATTCTAGTATTGGCTTCTATCTGGGACAGTACTTGAAGTTACCAGGTATAACAGTTAAATATTTTATTGTTTTAGAGTATGCTGAATGTAATAATGCTTGTGCAGCAATTGCTTGGAATAATTTGGTTCTTCCTGATTACATACGTATATAGTTGGACTCAGTTGTTCTTCAGGATTGTGTGTGTGAAGCAATTGTCTTGGCAATGCAATATGATATTTGATGTACTTTTGCACAGACACTGGATTTAGAACATGAAGTATGGATTGCAGAATTGGAATTTTTTTAAATTTTCGGTCATGTTGGGAACCGTAATTTAAAAATTTGTACCTGATATATCATAACTATCATCAGATGTACATGATTTTATTTATTTTCACAGTTGTGAAAAATGTAACAAGCTAAGAAATGGAGTGAAGTACTCAAAAGTATTGGAGCTCCCGGAAGTATTGTGCATTCATTTAAAGAGGTTCCGTCACGAATTGATGTTTAGCGCTAAGATCTCAAATTACGTGGCTTTTCCTTTGGAAGGACTTGACATGCGGCCATATTTACATAAAGGTAATGTTAATCTAAGTACATTTAAACCTTTTTATATGAAATATACGCCTAATAACATAGCTGTTGTTAAGTGAGATATGCTAAGGGCCAGCTTTACAGTTTGACATCACTTATTGCAATTAGAGATATGCAGTGTCACTAACTTTACAAGTTGCACCTGATGAATTTTGGACAGGTAATACTCTTTTAAAATTGTAAGTTTCGATTTTTCAACAGTTGTTTAACCAGTTTTGTGTTGTGAAAAGGAGTTATCAAACTGTTTTAAAGATAAGTGATACTTTTTTCACGGTTAAGGCATTTCTGACAATGAAGCTTCTAAGTTTTGATCAATTCAGTATAAAGCTGCTTGTACAAGCCATTGCAGGAATTATACTTCTGCCTCTAAGGTTAATGTGATGTTTTACCAGATAATTTATGTAAATCAGAAATTACCCTATATAGGATGAGTCTTAATTGTATACCTTAAATATAAGCATTGTGTTTTACAGTTTTGGGCAAGCAGAAACATTCATATGAATATATCGTTCGAACCACTTCATTAGCGAGATGTAGCAGCATTTGCATGCGGTAACTACAAGGCAGTCCTGCAAAATGAATAAAGCAAACGATCAGTCAGCATACTGATATGGTGTTCCTGCTGTTGATTTGTGGTGTTCACTGCAGGAGACAGTGGCACAGAGTATTCATTCAATGCATTAACAGATATGATGTTAGTGTATGCAGAAGTAGAGTGTAACAGTGCAGCTGCTGCCCATCCGTATGCTGAAAGGTATCCGCAGTGACAGTATCCGAATTACAGGACATCCGCTTCTCTTAAACAGTTTCTGCAAGAAACAGATTATATTTGGCCCAGTATATAGTTTGCTTCTTGACTACAGGCCACAGAGTTTGTTGTTTTAGTATGGTATTGAAACCACTGGTAGACCATGAAGTCTCAGGAGTACTGATGTGGAAGAATATGTTCTGTGTGCTGCAGAACAATCCCCTGGTGCTAGTACCAGGTGGTTGGCCCATCATCACCACGTTTCCCAGCAAACTGTGGTGAGGGTGTTGCATGATCAGCTGTTATGTCCATTCCACATACAGCATATTCAAGCTCTGCAACCTCCACTAGGCTGTGATCATTGTAAAGCATTCTATGAATGGCTACTGCAGCATCTCCAGACTTTCTCACCTGAGTATTACTGATGGATTAAGCATGCTTCACGCTTGCAACCAGCACACATTGGCTGTTGAAAATCCACATTTGTTTCAGAAAACACAATTCCAACAGCAGTTTTCAGTAAATATTTTGGCAGGGATAATTGACTATCTCTTCCTAGGTCCTTATGAACATCCACTTTGACTGTCAGGGGTCTCTTATTTACAGTTTCCATCTGAACAGTTACCACACCTGCTGAACAATGTACCACTGGTAACACAGCAGACAATGTGGGTACTGCATAGTGGGCCTCATGCCCATTTTTTCTATGTCATGCAACATTTGGGTAGCTACTATCTGTGTCCATGAATAGGATGAAGTAGACCGGTTTTGTGGTCTCCGACAGTGCCCCATCTCACTCCTGATGACTTCTACTTGTGGCGTCATCTGAAGAGTACCATTTATGCCCAGTGATGTAGCATGCAGGACAAACTGTGTAGTACCATTGAAATGGCTGGGACAACAGTACACAACATGCGTGACGTCTCTCAGGACACTGGGAATTTTTGGAACATTGGCTGTAATGGTGGAACATTTGAACATCATTTGTAAACTGTTAGTAACTGGGCAAATTCCATTCTATTCAGAGCTCATAAACTATTATTTGTTTACTTTTCATGTTGTCATATCTCGCTAATGAAGTGGTTGGGACTACATATTTATATGACCATTTCTGCTTGCCTGTAAGTGTAGAATGTAGTGCTTATGTATCACTTTCTGTATATCTTCAATGAATATTTTGTGCAGCATCAGTGTCAAATAAGCATATCATTGGATTTCTGTAAAAACCACATATATCTGATTTTTATCCTTTAATAGTACATATATACATATTGCCAGGCCAGCACAAATGTCCTCTACCCATCTTATAGAATCCACCACATAAGTACACTAGTGATAGTAGCATCTGTAGTGACTGTACCAATAAGCATAACTGTGAAATGTGTATTGCAGGTTATAAAATAGTTTTAGTATCTCTTGGAAATTTAAATGGTAATGGTTTCAACATGGTTTCTGGAGAAAGCCAATTATATATATATATATATATATATATGTATTTTTATAGAAGGGTTTATGTCAGTCATAAAGCTGTTCCAAACATTAAATTACAGCTTACTTCCCATTTAGTTGCAAAGTGTAAGAATGCATGCAGCTATATATCTCCTTGTGTGTTTACACTTTTGAAACATGATACTTTGGCACAACAGTACATTTCATTGAGTGATACAAATGTTGTTACTATGTTAAAAGTTTATATTGAAAGTGATAGATAGAGATTACTTCAGATTGTTTGTTAAGGTGCAGTCTTTGTGCTGAGTTTAATGAATACATTTTCTGAGTTCAGTAAATATTAGGGACACACATGAACTCAGAATTAAGAATGTTGTAAGCCATTCCACCATTACTGAACAAGAAACATGGGCTACAACTGGTCTTAAATGGGAACAGGCGGAGGTAACAGAAATTCTCATTTTATGTAGTATGCAGCTGGACAACAATTAAATTCATAGAAAGGAAAAATGTTTCAATGTGAAATGTATGAAGTTCTGAAATTTTCTAGCATTGTTGGGGCTGCAACAGTATACGAGTGTAGCTGTCTCTTTTGCTGCTTACTGTGGAATAGTTCTAGACTTGATAATCCATGTAGATTAGAAGGACTGGACTGCAAAAGTTGTCATGTCCAAGTAACCTAAATATTGTACAGAAGCCTTACAAAGAATGTTGAGCATAAAGATACAGAAATAATAAACATATCATTATCTTACAGTTAATGATTATCTGTAATGTCGACAGATTGTGTTTCACAAGTTACAAGCTATGATCTGGTGTCTGTAATCTGTCATCATGGGACAGCAGGTGGTGGCCACTACACCTGTTACTCGTTGAACTGTATATCAGAGCAGTGGTATGAGTTTGATGACCAGTATGTCACCCAGGTCCCACCTGAGACTGTCCAAAATTGTGAAGCTTATGTCCTCTTCTACAAGTAAGTAATGCAGATACCACATATTACAGTTTCATATTTGTCATTTGTGTTTTACACATGAACAAACTTCAACATACAGCAGGGCCTCAGTATTATCAGAATTTATAAAAGTCCTAAAATTATCATAATGAATACTTATGATGTCCAAAATTTGCTGAAATATGAAACTAAAAGTCTGTCCACTAACTTCCAGTCTCATATAATACAGTATGACATCAGGGTTTAAGTAATAATGCAGATGTAGCAATATTTATTTATTATTTGATACGATTATCATGGGGATATAGAAATGACCAAGAATAATTCAACATTCATATCATTGTTGGTATTATCTTAATTGAAGTGTTTAAGATTTTCTTAAACTTAAATAACCTCTTCTACCTGCATCTGACTGCTAATCAGCTGTCTTTTATGGGCTGAAGTCCTGCCCACTATTTTCTGCTTGCCCAAGAGAATGGCTCACTCATAATCTGCTTACAATTCACTGTGTGCTGACAGTTCCACCCACATTCTGCCTGTAACTTGCTGTGTGTGCAAATGTGAGAATACATGCTTTGATTTATATCAAATCAAAGAATAATAAGAGCCTATAAACAATCTTCAAAGTCACTGTTATTTTCTTTTCACTATGTGCCATGTTTGTTGAACTGCTATAATTACCATTTACATTGGAGTTGCCATTTAAAATTCTTCCTGATTTAACATTCATTTTCAATGATCCCAAGCATTTCTGTGATGCCTTACCTCCAGTTAAGAGTTCCTCGGTCTAGTGTTAAAATTTACTGCTTCCTAAAGAAACCTTAAATGGGAGTTACTGCTATATTCCACAAAACCCCTTTTTATTTTGTCTGAATTGGCCAGGCTCCAGAGCACTTTGTGTATAAGTCAGGGGTTAAAGTATTAAATATATTGACAGACGCTATTAAAAATTGTTTAAATGAAGAAAACTAATATTTAAAACTATCACAGTATCACTTTCATAAAACTTGTTATTTTTTCAGCTGCACTCACCTTGTTGTCAAAGTCTATAAGTTCTGAATTATTGTATCCAGCATATTTCATTCCCCCTCCCTCCCCGATACAAATTGGATTCTTGGTTTGGTTCACATATTTTGGAGGTTTTACATCCATTTTTATGATGTTTGCAGTTGCTAGTTGAAATTGATTCCTTTTCAGAAGGGGTAACAGTGTATTGTTGTCTGTCATAGGAAATGCTGTGCTAGTGCTACCAGACTGCGGCAGAGAGCTGTGGAACTTATGGAATTGTCCCATCATGAGCCTAGCCTCATGCAGTTTTATGTATCAAAGCAGTGGGTGAACAAGTTCAACACCTTTGCAGAACCTGGTCCCATTGATAACTCTGATTTCTTATGTATCCATGGAGGTGTTCATCCAGCAAGAGAACCATATGTAAACCAGCTGTGTACCATTCTCTCTCAAGCTGTATGGGAATACCTATATGATACGTAAGTCCTTGATGTCCAGGTTATAGTGTAGTTTGTGTGATCACTATATGTCCATCATAAACCATAAGGATTAAGCCACCAGACTTCTCTTCAGTGACACCTCATCATCTTCTGAGATTACGTGCTGTCTTCCTGGAACTGAGCATTTGTGATGGATTGTTGTTTGTTCATTTCTGTATCCTTTAATATATGCATTCAGTTGACATATATGTAACTTATGTCGTGTATGTTCTCCCTGTAATCTCCATTCCAGATCTCCTTTGAGGCATAGTGATCTTCATTTAATACACTGTGTCAGTAATGTCATGATAGCATTTTGCAGGGTTGCCATTTCATAACTGCTAGACTAGAAAAATGAATGAAACAGTAATTAAGGGGGGAACTCATACATGACATTGGAGGGAGGAAGCCACATGCAAATGAGAGGAATTTGCTGAAGGGGCTTCATGTTTCCCATACAACAGAAGTGCAGCATCAGTTGGTAATTAGTGTGCAGCATTTTCAGTGAAGAACCAAAATATGAAAAAACTGTTCATTCAGGAGTAAACAGTTAGAAGACACAGGCAGTTTACTGGAGAAGAAAGAATCAAGCAAACTGTCTGTCAGAAACAAGCCAGTTGGAGCTATCAGAGCAAGATTTTTGAGCAGTCAAAGGCAGTCATTGCTTCATTATGCAAACAGATTACAGTTAAAAATGACAACAGCTCACAAGGTGCTGATAAACACAATTTTTTTATGTTCAGAGTTACAGTTATTGTATGCAGTGAAGCCAAATGACAGTTGTAAGACATGCGATTGTGCTGAAAATATTACCAAGTCAGTTGGATGGCCATGATCTGTCAATTTCTACATTGCATTATTTTCAGTGGTGACGCCAGATTCCAGAGACACAAGCTGAGAATGTAATGCTGGGAGAACCCATACATGTGTGTTAAATACCAGAATGATAGCCCTAAAGGTCACATGTTGCAATTGACAAGGCAGTAGAGATTTTCGCATGAGAAAGGGGGGGGGGGTCCTGATGTGACAGAATGCAGTTTCCTAGACATGACTGTAAATTTTATGCTGCAACAAATTGAAGACAGTGGAGTCTATCAGTCACTTAATAAGTGCCTTAATGCACCTTTTCTGGGAAGGTGGACTGCAAGAGAAAGTTGCAAACTTTGGCCACCTCAGTGCCCAAATTACTCATTTGACATTTACCTTTTGAGTTACATCAGATGAGTGGTATTACTTACTTACTTGTGGAGCTGCAAAATCTGCACTTACCCAAGAATTTCCCAGCATTTTACGGAACCCGAAGGTTTATTATCGTGTTCACAAGAACCGTCCACTCGTCCCTATCCTGAGCCAGATCAGTCCAATCCATATCATCCCATCCTATCTCTCTAAGATCCGTTTTAATATTGTCCACCCACCTATGTCTTGGTCTTCCCAGTGGTCTCTTTCCTTCTGGCTTTCCCACCTCATCCTCCTTGACTTGATCATTCTAATTATACTTGGAGAACAGTACAAGTTATGAAGCTCCTCATTATGCAGTTTTCTCCAACCTCCTGTCACTTCATCCCTCTTCAGTCCAAATATTCTCCTCAACATCCTGTTCTCAAACACCCTCAGTCTTGTGTTCCTCCCTGAATATCAGTAACCAACTTTCACACCCATACAGAACCACAGGCAAAATTATAGTTTTGTATATTCTAATTTTTATGTTTTTGTACAGCAGACAAGAAGACGAAAGGTCCTGGACCGAATGGTAGCAGGCATTACCCGAGTTCAGCCACCTCGTTAATTTCCTCCTCAATCAGGTTTTGATTTATCATCGTTCCCAAATATCTGAACTGTGTCACATTTTCGAAACATCTATTTCCTATCTTTATGTCATGATTTTGCCCTGCATTTTGGTGATGAGACAGTAACATATACTTAGTTTTCTCTGTGTTTACTTCTAAACCAACCTCCTTACTTGCGTCAATTAAAGTTTGTGTGTTTTTCTTTATGGTATCTACATTATCACCCAGTAGATTCACATCATTGGCATAGACCAACAGCTGATGTGTGCCGTTTAATTTCAGTCCCACCTGGTTTTCCTAATGGCATATTCTAAAGCAAAGTTGAAAAGGAGTAGCGATAAAGCATCTTCCTGGACAGGAAATGTATCAGACAAATGTTTACCTATACAGACTTTACTGTACATTTCGTTTAAACACATTTCACTCGTATAAGGTAAAAAAAGGTAAAACAGTCTCTGTAACAGGTCATGAAGGCCCATAAGGTTGTGAGATGTCGAGGGCCCCACATTTTCTCTAGATAATTGGCTTATAGATGGCAGTAAGGTTGTCAGCCTTATGCACTGGCCACCCTTTATCCCCCAGGAAGATTCCTGGAGCTCATTTCTGTTAGATGCTGAGTTGACCCCAGGGCCGTAATACAGCTGGAAGGACTGAAAAAATCCACCTCATTGGGATTTGTACCTGCGACCTTTCAGCTTGTAGCATAGTGCCTCAACCAGCTATGCTACCATGTGCCCCCATTATATTATAAGAAAATATTTATTGTCTAGAAATGTGTGTTATATTTCATGAGGACACATTAACACTTCAGCAGACAGTTGTTTGTTCTGGAAGAATTCATAAGGTTGTGGTGTTACTACACTTGTCTGAATAATCATGTGTTTTGACAAATATTAGATAGTCTTTGAACTTTGTTTTTGCAGCTTTGGGGGTGGACCAGCTTGCAACCGTTTGTATGCATGCCCTACTTGTCAACAAGAGCAGGAAGCCTTGGCACATAGAGTGAAACATGAGCTTGAAGAATTCATACAACTGAACAAAGAATTCCAACAAGCTGAAGAAAGTCCAGTTGTTATATATGCAATTGCCATGAACTGGTTCCGTCAGTGGGAGAGTTTTGTCAAGGGAAAGGAATCAGAGCCTCCTGGGCAAATAGACAACTCTTCTATTTGTTCTGTTACTAAAAATGGACAGGTAGTTCTAAAGATGGGTGAGTTTTATATACAGTATGCATTTCTCTGGAAGCTCCTATTTAACATTCCCTAATTTAAGGTTTTCCCCTCATTTAGTGTTTAATTTCAGTGATTCTAAATAACTAATTTCATGTGATGTATTTCATTTAAGATTTTCCTTGGTTTGGTATCTAAATCCACTGATCCTCAGAGAGATCTTAAATGGGATTTTCACTGTAGTTTGGAGTAAAAGAATGTAGTGGGTATGTGTACAAAAGCTGCACATTTCAATCTGACATCAGAAGTTTCTGTTAAATGAACCTCTAGTGACCTGAAAAGATGATTCTGTACTATGAAAAGCTTCAATGAAAATCCTGTTCAGACAGGTATTAAAATACTATGTTGGTGTTTCACAGTTTCTAAAATATTAACCATTTAAAAAGACATTTATTACATTGCTTCAGGTTCAGATTATGCTCAGCTGTCTCAAGAACTTTGGTCTTTCTTCCATCGTGTCTATGGTGGTGGGCCGGAAGTTGTCTTGAGACCACCATGCCAAAGAACAGGCAATAGTATTGGCTGTAACAGTAGCAGTAACATTTCACAACCTCCCCCATTGTCAAGGACAGTGCCAGTACCTCCTGAATCTCCACTTTGTATGGCTCATGCTCAAAAGGCACGTAGCGCAGAAAATATCACAAGTCATGGTGGTACTTCAGGAATGTCTGGAGGCACGGGAACCCTTGTTCGGCCAGCAGGAAGAGCCCAGAGTATAAGTTCAGACAACATAACTGTAAGAATGGCTGCTCTTTCAGCATCAGGGAACAAACAGTCAGTAAATACTGATTCCAAGGGTCTGGAAAAAGGTAAAGAGACATGCAACATATAGCAATAAAGTCTTTATACTTATTGCTGCCTGCCAGTATGTTAATATTTTGAGAGACTGATGTGGTTTATGTCTTGAATATTTGTTATCTTGCTGTAAAATTCATTAAGAGAAATGCAACATTTTCAGGCGGTCCATAACCGCTGTATAGAAGTGTTACAATATTTAGCAAGCATTAAGTAGTTACACTTCATTTTAGCTCTGTGCAGGGGTTCTACACCTTCCTTGTAATCGAACCCTTCCAAATCTTGTCACTTCTTAGAAAAGCAGAGTATGAAAAAACTTCCTCCCAAATAATATACCTCTTCCACAAGAATATCCCCTTCATATGCTCCTTCCTGCATTCATAGCCCATCTTTAGACAACATAACTTTTGCAACGTGCTTCATAAATCATTATGTCCTCAGAAAGAAAATGAAAGTTGCTTTACAGTATTTCACATATGTGCAAATGAAGCAGATAAAAAGAAATATTTTTTTCTAAAACAAACATAGAATATCACCACCAATCTAATTCTCCATTTATGTTTGCATAAAATTTCAGGTCTGTCATACATTTTTGCAACAGACTTCCTGAAAAATTTCTGATGATGTTCAAATAATGGTTTAATAACCACTGCTGTAACCCATGGGATTCAGCTGTATCCTTTTACTGATGTCACTGACTATATAACAGTACCGATAGGTGAATTCTGATACCAGCATGGAAAGTGTGTTTCAGTTTCATGAAGGACTCATCTGAATTTAAATTAACTACCTCTATGTAATTATCAGATGTCTATGTATTAAGTCTGTCAATAATAACACACAAGCAATGGGCAGATTGCAGATTGGCTAATGACACAGAAAAGCAAACTGCGGAAAAACTGTCTGGAATATCACATCACTTTAAACAAGTGGACGACGCCCCTTACGAGGTGGAATAGAATTTTACGAAAGATTTTAATGAATTTTAAGTAATTAATTATGTTATTTTAAGAAGACTGCAATGCTCAATTTTAGCAAGCATCAAAGCAGTGTAACAATTTGGATGCATTGAAACACCTGAGGAGGGCTGTCTGTGGCCAAAACATGTTGGGTTGGTGTTGAATGGTGACTGTTGTAAGGATTGTGGCATTATTGACGTACTTAATCCATAGACGTTTGATTAAGGATGTGCAACGGGATGCTGAAATACAGAATTACTGTGTAATTATATTAATTTTGAATGGTTTTTATAATCTTTATGGCTGTTTGCAGTTCATAAACCAGGGAAATGATTTAGTATCAAAGCGCATGCGCGCACATGTGTGTGTGTCAGAGAGAGAGAGAGAGATTCTTAATTTATCACTTTTATTTTTGGCACTCGGATAGCCATGTAGTTCTCCATGGTCTGTTCAACATAATTATTCTAATTTTTTGTGCAGCAGTTGCAATGACTGTTTCTTGCAAAAATATTAAGGCTTCAGCTTTTGGTTTCAGGTGACCCAAACACATCTCTATCTTCTGTGCCTGGTTATTGTAAAGATGAAGAGACACGAATGGTATCAGCAGTGGCACCACCGACGTCTATACCATCGTCATTAGCTTCAGACCAGTGTGAAGTTAGTGGAATTGTGGATGCTGTCTTGAGAGGCCCCTGGTGTCCATTAAACGAAAAATATGGTATGTTATCTTAATATCCATTGGAATAGACATTGATAGGGAACTGGGATAGCATAGTCAGTATAGCGACTGGCGACAGGCTGGATGACCGAGGGGTCGGAGTTCAAGTCCCAGTAAGGTCGAGAATTTTCTCTTCACATCATCCAGACCAGCTCTGGAGTCCACCAAATCTCCTATCCAATGGGTATTGGGGGCTCTTTCCTCGGGGTTAAAGCGGCCGGGGCGTGAAGCTGGCCACTCACCTCCAGCTAGTGCCAAGGTTAAGAAAATGTGGATCTACACATCCAATCCCCAATATGCCTCCATGGCATAGCTCTTAATTAGTGTTATGCCATGGTGACAGGGGGCGTGGAGGTATCCCACCGCTGCCACCATTGTTACTCCGTGGTGACAGGTGGCGTGGAGGTATCCCACCGCTGTCACCATATGTTACGGCGCGAAGGGGGGCGTGGAGGAATCTCTCCACCTCTTCCGCCATGCATGCCGTTGCGCCCTTGGGTAATGGCCAGTTGCAAGGCTAAGCACTTGGTACTTGACTCATTAACTACCTCTTGGCTGTGAGTTCCCAGTCCCAATAACACAGGGAGGTATGGGAGAACGGGGAAATAGAGGGTGTGACTGGGGGTAAGTCATTAACACCACACATCCCCTTCACTCGGTCTACTGTTGTCTACTAATATATATACACTTCATACATATCACTTTCATGGCCGACAGTGGCCGGTTACGTACACAATGTAATTTAGAGAAAAATACACTTGGGTTCGCCATCCCTAGCCTTCGAGGTACTTCCTACGTCCCAACTCAGGGCCTACTCTCTCTGCCCTAACCCTGTAACATGACACTTTAATAATATCTCACTGTATATCCATGACTGATATGAACAGTTCCACTTACTTGGTGTAGGAAGCTGATGGTGTCCCTCACTTGGTCTGGCACGACCATGGTTCTGGCTGGCTACTACACTCAGTTACGATGTTTAAAAGATTGATTGTTTGATCCAAAAAGATTCCATGATCGATTCAATGATAGATCCTCTCCCAGTTGCGTCCACAACTTTATAACATTCCCCCTGCTGACACCTGTCTTTGGGGTAAGCTCCGCCTCTTCACTAGAGCGAATTTTCCCCCAAAGGTCCATCTCTCGTTGGTCAGCTGGATAAAGAGGGTTGGATCTCCTCAGGCCGTCTCGCTGAGTTGGCACTCTGTACGCCTTGGCCGTACAGCTGTTTTCAGTCTCTTCCACGTGAATCAGCGGTCTAAGCAATGCGACAAATTTCTACTGACATCGCTACTTCCTGAATTTTTACTTCAAACATTACCCTTCATCTAACTTCTCTACTGTAACCCAAGATAACTTAATACCTAAAAGTTACAAAAACCAATGCCGAAATTCTACGGCATTACAATTAGTTATGCACAGGGAGAAGGTAATTAAAAAAAGGTAAAGTCCCTATGCTTGACTAATTAAGCACTGCGCCATGAAGGTGTATGGGGAAGTGGATGTATAGATTCATATTTTCTTTACCTCAGCACTAGCTGGAGGTGAGTGGTCAGCTTCACACCCCGTCCACTTTACCCCCTGGGAAAAAGCCCCTGGTATCCATTGGATAGGAGGTTTGGGGGACCACAGAGCTGGTCTGGATGACATGGAGAAGAGAAAATTCTTGGCCCAACTGGGACTCAAACTCCGACCCCTCAACTGTTCAGCCTGTAGGTAGTCGCTGTACTGACTATGCTATCCCGGCTCCAAGCACAGAGATTAATTAAAAAAAAAAAAGACATTGATAGGGAGCAACAGAGCATGTTGCAGTATGTTGTTATAGTCATGGGTGTCTGTTTAGTATTCTGTTATTTTGTTAGTAAATTATCACATTTATATGAATATAGATATAAATTTGTGCTTATGAAATCTGCATATCTTTTTATATTCAGTGATTACTATCTGAGGTAACACCCTCAAAACACAGCACCACTAGTTGGTTGCTGGCCAGTAAGTGGCAAGTCCAATAGTACGATTGATGCCTATTGAGGCAGGACAGGCCATATGTGCCAGCATTTCCTCCACTTCCTTATCTTTTTGTAGCCAAAAAGTGAGGTGAGTGTCATATTTAGGGACAAGAAGAAATTCTTGGATATGTTACTGGTTTATTATTAATTTTGTTTACTCACTTATTCACTTCCATTTTTAAGACGTCTTAAAAATGTTCACAGTCTCTCCTTAATTTAAAATATGAAAATCACACTCAGTTCCTACATGTTTTGGCAGTTGTTACTTTTTGGAACTGTTGCACTGCATTAGATCTTAAGTCAATATATTTCAGTGTTATTGCGTTATCATTATTCACACAGAAATACATTTGCTTGAGAATAAAACTCTTCTTTCATTCCCATGCTACTTTTTACTTGTGGTGTTCATCTTCGTGTGTTCCCACTAGTGGAGTGTCTGGGTGGCTCAGGAAGGCCACAAGAAACTTCAATCAGGACAGTTGATATCCCACCCTTGATTGAAACTGGACATCTGTCAAATTCAAGTCACAAATGTTACTGCTTGAACCAGTTTGCTCATTTATTTGGGAATATGAATGGATGTATTTTATTGACATAGATTTAACATGAACCTCTCATGTCTTGTTTTTGTTATTAGATTGAAATGAGTTTTACTCTATTGGGACAGTGTCAGAAAACCTTATAAGGGAGGAGTTGGGGTAAAGGGAGTAGATACATGCAGTTTATATTTGAGCCAAGGCATAATTTTGACAATCATTATTGTCTTTTTTTCTCCTTTTCAGGTTCATTAGGTGAACAGTGTCAATGAAATTGACTAATTTATCAGTTTATAGAAGAGTGTTTATTGAAAATGGTTTTAGAGGATTCTCTATATCAAGTGAATGGATTTCTTTACCGGCTCTCACATTTTTCTCAAAGGACATGTCACTTGTGATTAAAACCCTGTAATAGGTAATTTTTTATTTTGTTTTTACTGACTGATAATTATTTGTTGTGCACATGAAGTAGTGGGTATCAATTGAATCATGAATACCTTGCATTTTCAATGATCAGAAAATGGGCATTGATGTTGCTGAACTAGAAACCTTGCCTTTAAAAGCAACTATGCAGTTTCCACCATCAGTTTTGAAGTTGTGAACTTAGTATGATTGCTTTGAACCAAGACTGTGTTTGTTATGTGAGCAGTAGAACATAAATCCACCACTTTACTACATCCCTACCTAAATACCAAATGAACAGTTGGCATAAGTGCTTAACTTTTCCATTGTTTTTTTACATGGCTATAAAATGTAGTAAGTATTGAGGTAAGTGAAACATTGTATCTAAAATAAATGGGCAGTTGGGGTAATATTAATTAGATAGAAAGTTGTGTTTGATGTGTATCAGTCTCTTGGCGCTTCTTGTTGGTTACAGATCATTTTGTAGTTTATATTTTTGTTCTCTCTTTCCTCCAGTATTATCCCATCATTACATGCAAGATAAGGGTTCATGATTCACTTGGGTCACACATTTTATGTAGTTATAATGTATACCAAAGATATATATAGATAGGTAGATATATATGTGAGTTTCAGTAAGATGTATACAGATGTGTATGGTCAAGCCACAGTTTTTATGTATTAAGTTTGTAATATGTATTTACATTTTTTAAGAGTCTGCTTTTCTGGCTAAGTACACCTGTGGAAACATCCCTGTAAAACCTAGGAACAGTAAACTCCCCATTATATGACGGGGAATGGTGGTGGTTGAATGAGAAGTTTGAATGTTAGGATGCTATAGCTGGGAGTTTGCTATACCTGTAAATTTTCCATGTCATTCTGTTGTGCTTGGAGTCGGTGTTTTCAATTTTCAGTGTCATAATAACATACTCTTTAAGGAGTATTAATATCAGTTTGTTATATTATACCAAAAAGAATGCATTGACATTCCATTAATTAAATTTAAATAGATTTTGACATTTTGCCTCATACTGTGGAGACTGTAGGAAGAAATGTTTAATCCTCTTAGTATTGTGTGCTAATTCAAGTATTGATTTATTCTTCTGTTAATAAAATTACGTGAAGTATTTCATGAGTGAAAGTCAGATGTGGTGTACTTGAAACAGTGCAACATTTTCAGTGAGCTTAACATTTTGTAGATATATTTAAACCATCTCCTATTTTATTTTACTGCAGCTACTCTCAGCAGAATTGAATACAATTATTGTGGTGTCATTGTATACTACTGGTATTTTGGCCAGTATTGTAACAAACTGTTCGTATATTTGTTCATCAGTGGCAAAATTCCAGTTATTTTTTTGAACCCCTTGTTCTGAAAATAGGAATGGTTTTATTACACGATAGATGTACTTGTCCCTAGGTTTTTGGCACCTGTCTCTGATGTGTAACCTCAAACTTTTGGGATTTAGCTGCATCATAAGTTGACATTGCTCTAACATTGTGGCATACATTGTAGTAAATAGATATGTAAATCTTAACAGTGGGAGTACGGATGGGCAAGAGAGCATGATGCAGTCCAGTGGGAAGAAGCCATGTGGTTGAGAATAGGAGATGGAGGAAAATAAATGAAGTCAGGCTACAATCAATTTGTATCTGTCATGATAATTGACATTGTGGTGGTATTAACTTTTCCAGTGGCTTCCCAAAATATGGGGAAGGTACTGACTTCAGTATAATTGAGCCCTAGTAAATATCCATACTTCCCATCCCTACATCATTAGGAATGCTATCTGAAAAGTCAGATGCTCCCATAACTTGACCTATGAAGATGAATAAAAGGTGAATAAAGTCTCGATTTACCACATTTCCTCCAACCCTTCTTAACTGCGTTGAGCCTTCCCATTCGGTAGCACCACACTGTACATCTGTCTTACTCCCATTGCAAGACCCTATACACTATATCAGTTCACTTCCTCCCATCTCATGTTCACCGCAAAGATGGTGTCTGCAATGTATGCCAAAACATTGGAATGGCTTCAACATACAGCAGCTAAACATTGAATGCTGAAGTTACGCATTACAGAACATGAATTTAAGTGGGATGATGTGAGTAACAACTCTGAGTTAATTGTACCTGGTTGTTGAACTTTCAGTCATCACTAAAAGTTATTGGTCTGGTCTTTACATTTAAAGTTGGATAAATGTATCTAGTGTAATTTGTGAATTATAATCATTCCAAACCTTCCAGTCTTAATATAACTGTTGCTTTTTTACTCATTATCCGTCATCCTATTTTTAAATAAAAAACAGGATGATAGATAATGTCTAAAAAGCCAGTAATTATATTAATACGTATATTATCAGAAACTTTAGACCTTAACTTCCAGGTCTTGCTATGAAGATCACTGATACTAATAGATGATTTGCTCTAATTAGACAGATATTCCTAACCATACACTTGTCCTGTTTCTGCTACCTGTGTACTGTACTGGATCAAAATTATATATGTAGATATTTCTTTTGAAATCACTGTACTCACCTCTTCTGTAAAAATCCTTTCACTGTAACAGATAGTTGGTTCATTGGCACTGACATGCTTCCTTCTTTTTAAATCTTAATTATTATGTTTGTTTTTTTCATTCTTAAGATTGTGGTTGCACATAGTTGTGTGTTCAGCCACAGTGCTCCACCTGCTGGAATGTCTGCTTTAGAAGTTTTAATTTAATTTAATTTCAGTTCTACACACATTTCAACAGATTTCTGTAACTGTAAAGACCAAAAACAATGTTGAATAGACTAAGCATTAGTTTTGGATGTATGAATGATGTAGAAGACGTTCTGTTAACTGAAACAGACATATTTGTTGTATACCTGCCACGATTTTAACAATTAATAGGCCAAAGCAAAGAAATATTAATTTTAAGATTTGTCCACATGGAAGTGGCATACCTCCACCATCCAGAAATTGTAAATGCTGTAATGGAAGACAAAATCCTGCTGTGCTTGAGAGTTTAAATATCTGCAAGGCTTTAAATAATTTATTGTGTTTGAAATTGGAAACCTATTTTTCTATGTGATGAACAGTTTTCTACCAATATATCTGAACTTTGTAAATTTTTATTTTAACATCTGTTGGTTCATCAAAAATTAGAGGACAAGCAATAAAAATATGCTACAAGAAAGTCCATTGAAACACATGCATATACCATGTATATCTCTGAAGCCGCAGTATCAGTAGTTCTGGGTGCAAGGAAGAAGTCCAGAAGTGGGCACAGGTTGATGGCATTTTCATTCCTTTGCTGCAGAGCTTGCAACAGTGCAAGTACAGTCTAAGAAAGAGGTGACTTAATCTTGCAATGTGTGTAAACCAAAAATAGGTGTCACATTATGATAAGTATACTAATGGAGAGACAAATTTAATGTATGTTATAATAGAAACAGCCATTTTGAGAGGAAGGGTCACCTACATCACAGCCACAGGGAAGAATATCTGCCATTATATATTGTTTGCAGTGATTGAGGGACTTACAGAAAATTACAATAGACCAGTACATGCTAAAGGGGAAGAAAATCAGATGATTCATTGTACAAAACTTAGCTGCATGAATGCCACTTCATTTTAAAATATGGAAATGAATCTCACTGTCCTGGATGTTCTGTTTGCTCCATGAGACCACTGCATTACAAAGGAAAAGAGGACTGCAAGAGTAAGCCTACTTTGTTCTTCTGTCCATCCTGTCCGGGAGAGCCTGCACTGTGTATGATGGGAAGTCGTATAATGTTTTAATTATCACCATGAGAAAATCATAATTCCAAAATATTGTTCTATATAGGAGATGACCCATTTCCTGAGCTTGCTGAAGAGTCAAATTTTCCCGCACCAAGTGGACAGAGGGAGCCACCGGAGGGGGCAGAAGCCAAATGGTGACATCAGTTGAGAAAGTGGAGGCTCGCGCTGTGATATGGTTGCTGCATTTGCAAGGGAAGTCTGTCAGGGAGATCCTCAACCGGATGATCACTGTGTATCAGGAAGATATAACTCAGTGGTTAGGTGGAAGAGGCACTTTCATTGTGGACAGACAAACCTTGAAGATGAACCCCAAAGTGGAAGACTATCTCTCACTGAGGAACCGGGAATTGTGATGCAGGTGGAAGCTTTGATCCTATCCGATATGCGCATAACTACAAAAGCTGTTGTTCATGAGGTCCACATTATCTGTGGATCAGTTTTCAGCATCATCCATGACGAGTTACACATGACAAAGGTTGCTGCACATTGGGTGCCACAATTGTTGACACCAGTTCAAAAACAGCAAAAGATGGATGTGGAAAAGAAACTTTTGCAGTTGTGTCAAGATGAAAAGATGGAATTTTTCGACCACTTGATCACAATGGATGAATGTTGGGTCTATCATTATGACCCTGAAACAAAGGAAATGAGCAAGCAGTGGAAACATGCAGACTCGCTGCGACCAAAGAAGGTGAAATCCCAGCCGTCATCAGGAAAGGTGATGTTGAGTGTGTTCTGAGATCGGCAGGTGTCATCATGACCGACTGTGCGCAAAAGGGCATCACCATCACGGGCAAGTACTACCAGAACCTTCTGAGAAAATTACGGGGGGAAATCAAGAAAGAGCGATGCAGAATGCTGGGAAAAGGTGTGCGACTTCTTCATGACAACATACTGGCTCATGCTACGAGGACACTTGCTGCCAGTTTGAGATATGAAATTCTGCCCCGTCCACCATATTCACCAGACCTGGCACTGAGCAACTTCTTCCTCTTTCTACGGCTAACCTGTACGTCTAGTGAAAATATTACAGAGGAATAGCTGTTACCAAGTAAGAAGTGGCGAAGGCAGACAGAACATTTAGTGTGGAAATCAGCAGTAATATTATACTTACTTCTAGTTTCGAGTTCAGTGTATAAGTGCAATAAATCCAATCCAAACCCCGTCTAATAGTCACACAACCCAAATACGTGATGATAATGTAACAGATTTGCTCAAAACGTTTTTAGGCAATGGCTCAGTAAACATGTTCCAACATGCAACAATGGAAGTCGTGTCTCAGTGGACGAATGTTTTTGCTCGTTGCTAGGCAACAGCTTACCAATGAAGTCACTGGCTAGCAATTGCGTGGCCGTGTCTTCTGTGTTGTCTCTGGGGAGCCTATATAATGAAGACCTGTTGTAGTTTAGATTAGTGTCTTCTCCTCATAGAGGATGTTACATAAGGACTATAAAGTTTTTAACGAAGCGTTGCCTAGAAACAGCTCTGGTAACTTTACTTATCTCTTGGTCGATGTATGGTAGCGTCTCTACACGCTACAATACAGAACAACATTAATGAAACTGTAAACAGTGGACAGTTATGTTGTAAATTTTATGCAGAATCTGGAAATTTTTCTATCACAAAGATGTAAACCTTCTGAAATCTAACGTTGTGTAGTCCACTGAAGGCCAACCGATGCTTTGGAGGGACATATCACCTCCATCTTCAGAGTATAAGTGTAAGAAAATGAAGGAACCAGCATGAAGCAGGTAGCAATCAAATATATCATGGGCACGTGGTAGCGTAGTTGTTTGAGGCACTATGCTACAAGCCGGAAGGACATGGGTTCGATTCCCGATGAAGTCATTGGATTTTTCAGTTGATCTAATCCTGCAAGCTGCAGTATGGCCCTGGAGTCGACTCAGCCTCTTAACAGAAATGAGTACCACAAATCTTCCTGGGGGTAAAGGGCAGCAGACACATAAAACTGACAACCTCATCACCATCTGTGGGCCAGGATCATTGAAGGTCGCAGTGCAAGGGTCAGATTTTATGGAACTACTACTACTACTACTACTACTACTACTACTACTACTACTAGAAACTGTGAGCCTCGACATCTCACAACGCTGTAGCCCCCCACGGCCTGTTACAGGGATGACATTGCCTTTTTTCCAGGTATACTGGAATTAGTGAAATGATGCTCATTTAACTCTGCAGCTAATGTATACCGAATTCACTTCATATGTGCTTCGTGTAACCGTATAAGCTAATTTTGATAAATATGATATATAAGAAAAAGAGAATGGAAGGAAATGCCCTTCCTTATAAATAAGTTTTAGATATCCTTTTTACATTTCTTCAGATATGGATAGTGCAGTCAGTATAGCGACTGGCTACAGGCTGGACATCCAAAGAGTCGGAGGTCGAGTCTCTGTGGGGGCAAGAATTTTCACTTCTCCATGTCGTCTAGACTGACTTTGGGGCCTACCCAGCCTCCCATCCAATGGGTACCAGGGATTCTTTTTCCCCGGGTAAAGCGACTGAAGCGTGAAGCTGACCACTCACTTCCAACTGCTGTGGAGATCAAGAAAATGTGGGTCTCTACATCCATTCCCCCACAAATGCATAGTGCTTAATTAGTAGAGCACATGGACAACTTTACCTTTTTTTAATAATTCATCCATTTTTTAGTAATTTTCTTGTAATGAAATTATTTCAATAAGACTACGGAGGTGAAGTGAGAGAAATTCAATGTTAGTGTAGCTTGCTAGATCCTGGAGGCTGGAGAAAACCACAAGGAGTGAGGGATCCATGTGACTGTACTGAACCAGGCGAGTGGGAATATGATGGTCCAGCATAAGTTCGATACGTACTCACCACACGAAAACGAAGCCATGGCACTCTTTCTGAATATGGTTTCTGATGGCAGAGTCATCATGTTCGCCATAAAGGTACGCTTTAACAGTTGTGAGACAAATGAAGGTCAATTTCTGAGGATCTCCTGTATTGGTTTGTTAAACTAACTCCATGAAGCTGAGCCCTTCTTGAGGAGCCGCCAATTCTGCAGCTAATCAAGAATTTCCCTATATTTTATGCAACGCTAAAGTTCATTACCGTGTTCACAAGAGCCCTCCACTGGTCCCTATCCTGAGCCAGACCAATCCCATCCTATCTCCCTAAGATCCATTTTAATATTACCAACCCACCTACGCCTTGGTCTTTAAAGTGGTCTCTTTCCTTCTGGCTTTCCCACCAATATCCTATATACATTCCTTGTTACCCCCATTCGTGCTGCATGCCCTGCTCACCGCATCCTCCTTCACTCGATCATTCTAATTAAACTTGGTGAAGAGTACAAGTTATGAAGCTCCTCGTTATGCAGCGTTACTCATATAAATTTATAATTTGTGCTAAACAGGCCTACATTTTCACTAAGTCTTATTGTTTTGGAGATATTTAAATTAAAGAATACAAATACATCGGAATTATTACCTGTGCACCAATCTTGTCATTCTTGATTAAAATATTAGCTTATTTAATTCATCCCATCATGTCTACAGTTAATCAGATCATTTTCACCTCAATTGGTCCCTCATAGACCTGCGTATGTTGTGTTATGTTAACAGATAATTTATTTCTAAATTACATAATAGACAGCACGTATGGTGTATGGAAATGAACTGTAAAGTTATTACTGTAACATTAATATTTCTGACATCTGAAATGTCTGGAGCTTGACAAATATGACACGCTCAAACAATTTTAAATCCCTCAATACATATTAAGAGGTTCAGAAATATAATCCTCTGAATGTAAGCCGTCTCAGTGCAGTTTCTTCTGGATTTCTGTGACAGTAACTGTGGCTGACTTAAAGGATGAAGGAACATTCCAGATGAAGCAGCCAGCCAGAGACCTCCTGAAGAGACTGGGTTCAAAGCGAATCCAGGAAAAACCGCCATCTTATGTTTTCTGGNGAGACTGTGGACCTGTCGTCTTGACAGATTACTGATGATGATGATGATGATGATTGAATAAAAGTTTCTGATGATATCTGATATGCCCATACAATATACATTATTTGACACACACTCCTTTTCCTCTGTTCTGCCCATATTTTATAAGTTCAGAATGCAGAGATATTGTACAGACAGTTATTGATTCTTCTCTACAAAATGTGGGAGCCTTGAAGACTCACAACCCTATGGGCCTACACAGCCTGCTAATGGGACAGCTTTACCTTTCTTTTTCTTTTCTTTACCAGTACAGCCTATTAAAGTTTTCCATAGTCCTTAACCTAGAAAGATACCCAACCTCAGTCATGTAGCCTGAGCCTAGTCTAGCTAGCATTAGTGTGAGATGTTCAGTCTGACTTGATCCTGCTCTGAACTGGACAGCCAGGGCTTTCAGCCACCATGAGCCTTGCCTAGGATAGTTAAGCTGGACTAGCAGAAGACCTAGCAAAGGCAAGAGAAAAGCCTAATTTTACCATGTTTCCAGGCTTAAGTAGCCCATTACTCCCATCCCTCGCCCAAAGCAAGCAGGCCAAAATTTATCCAGCCTAAGAACAGTCTAAATATCATAGAATTTAGGTTCTGACAGGGGGTTGAATGACTGTGGAACAAGCATATATATATTCCTGAAGAATAACCCAGCCTGGTCATTGTTGCACATGACACTTTGCCTGAAAACAGCGTAGCTATCCAGGCTAGTAAGCTGAGATCTAATGTATCTTAGCAATAAACAAAAGCATTTCAAAACCTGCCTCCATATGCAGGTAGCGTCATAATTGGTCATAATCCCGACGACAGATGTCACGAAGAACGGGCAATCGCCAAACCACGTGATAATGTCGACCAATCACAATCGCTTTAAGCGCTGCAGAATTTGGGCCAATGACAACTGATGACAATACTGTTCGCTTCAAACAGCAAAAGTGTGATGTATTGGTAAGCGTGGTAACAGCTACCTGTACTAGCTATCATGTTGTTAGAAATGGTTCTGATTCGCTTGTCAGGTTGATGAGGAGCGTGAGCGGAAGGGGGGCAGTTTGGTTATGTTAAATTCAATTGAGGTTACAGGATTTTAACGTTGAGGTAGTGTGACGTTACTTGTGTAATATTTTTGTAATGTAAAAGCTTTACGTGTTTGCTGTGATGATTTGATATAAATTTGTTCAGTAAGCAGGAGACGAGTGTACTTGACAAATATTGTTCATAGTACATCTTCGTGAATATATAAATTTGAATCATATAGACTCTTATTAGAGGTGCAGCTGCAGTTCTGCAGTTGGGTTATGGTTTAACATGTCTGTGCTTCAGCTCCAAGGTGGTTGTAAACGTAAATGTAAGCCCGTCACTGTGACCGAAGTAATTAACAAACTCACAGTAAGTATGCTGCGGAATGAAACAGATATGTCATGTGATGACAAAGTTATAGATGCTGAGTTTATGTGCAAAATAATGATTAATCTTAATATTCGTGTTAGAAGTTGAGAATTTGAAGTATGACATTAAGTAAAGTAAAAGTAAGTAAAGCTATCCCTGTAACAGGCCATAAAGGCCCATAGGGTTGTGAGACGTTGAGGGTCCCATATTATCTAAACAATCGGCTCAAATATGTAAGGTTGTCAGCCTTACGTGCCGGCCGCTCTTTACTCCCCAGGAAAATTATTTAATTAATTCCTGGTACTCCTCTGTTAGAGGCTGAGTGAGCCCCAGGGCCATAGTGCAGCTGGAAGGATTAGGTCAATTGAAAAATATCCAGTGACCTCATTGGGACTTGAACCCACGACCTTCCGGCTTGTAGCATAGCCCCGCAACCAGCTATGCAACTGCATGCCCCGAAGTATGCCATTATGGGATCATATTGGAGAGAGAGGGAAGGACTTCTTAGAAATGTTATGCAGGTTTATGTTTTTCATTATTTGTTAGAAGAAAAGATTAATATTATTACAGGTGCTTAGGAAACAGCATTTCACAATATAGATTAGTTTGTATTTGGCTCATGAAATTTGGCTTTGTAGGAGAGTTTAAAAGTAGATACAAATTTTGTGTTAAACACTTTTCTGTATTGGTAAATATGAGCTTGGTCATAGTGAACTGCAAGTATTGAAGCTTCACTGTTTCAATTACTTTCTTTGCAAATAATTTTGCAGTATAGAAGTTTGTGTTAACTCCCATCAATTCTCCATGCCTTGCATAGTCATTTGAGTGGTTTGTAGCCATATTTTATTAATTGAGAAGAATGTTAACACTGTTTTTGTAATGAAGGAACTGATACATAACTCTAGTTCTGGGGAAGATCAGCATTTTCATTTTATGAGCTTGTGGGGTCTTATGTAGTTTTGTCATTACTCCGATGACAACCCACTTCTTCGGAACAGTTTGTTGGTCCTGAAAAGGACCGTGGTTGCTGAGATGCTTGACCGGTGAGGTAGCGCGGTGCACGCCGGTAGGGAGAGAGGTTAGTTGCGGTGAGTGGACTGGCCGCAGTGCGGCCGTTGCTTGATCGCGGTGCGGCAGATGGTGGAGGTTGCTTTATCGCAGCGTGGCGGCTGCTGGTGGAAGGCTGGTCGTTCAGCACGGTCGTAGGAGTGATGAGGCAGTGGCTACACCAGATGCCCAGTGGGTCGGACAGGGACACGACCACCGGCGAGTCCAGGTGAGGTGCCCCAGTGAGTCGGGTGTGAGAGAACCGGAGGGCCGAGGCAGTCATGCTTGGCGCAGCCTGCCGATGCCTCCGAAGACCGAGCGCTGGCAACAAAGCCTGCTGGCTGATGTTGCTTGAGTGTGGCTTGATCATAGACTGAAGTCAACTGATTCTGCCAAAGTCAAAGTCATGTTACAACTGATGGTCAGTCAGTCAGTCTGTCTATCTTGGTGTCGAGCCCCAGCTGGGGCTCATGACCAGATGTTTTCTTCTTTGTGAAAGTTGGTGTCCTGTCCATTTGGGGCGCCCTCTCTGATGAGAGGTCGGGTCTGTCATTTGTCAGTCAGTCTGTTTTAAGAAGTCCACTGTCTGTATTTACATAATTTACAAATCCACATTTGTACCTTCTATGTACAATATATACAAGGCCTCTGTCAACCCAGGCATTGTACAGCAGATTATGCCCTATTTATAGTAGTAATCGCTATCACGGCAGTCTAGTCACTTGAACGGTCGTATGCCTGACCACCGCCAAGTTTAAGCCTCTTATACTTCCTGTGGCTGGCTTTGCCTTGTCCAATGTTGCGAACATTCTCATTATCATAATTTTGTATGACTTCTGCTTGTTGCCTGCATAATTTTGTTATATAATCATATACGTATGGAATTTTGAATGCCATGTGCAATTCGCGGACCGGTGTGCGCCTTGGAAAATTGCCAATCGTGCGGAGAACCTTGTTTTGCAGGTGCTGCAGTTTCACTAGATGGGTTTCACTAGATGCCGCAAACTCCCAGGCAGGACTAGCATAAGTCATTACGGATCTAATAAGAGCTTTATGGAGGGTCAGTTTAATATTAGCGCTGATTCTGCCGGTTGGGGCTGCTCCTTTTTATACACTGCTCGGTGGGCGGAGCGAAACTTGAAATTGAGGAGGAAGAATTTGCAGGGCACTGATTGGCTAGCACGTGTGATGATGTAGATGCGAGGCTAGCAGCGAGCACAGTATAAATGCGAACGTTTGGAGCAATTTGATTGGTTAGCGCACGTGATAGTGAAAAGTGATGTGAAGAGTGTGCGTTGCAGAAAATGCGTGATAAGGTGGGATGTTCCCACAAGCGGATTGTGCTTGAATATTCTTGTTCCATTTTGTTTCCTGTTCTTGTAGAACCAATATTTGGTCCCCACTAATAATTTAATGTAGATAATTGCATTTTATAAAAGCTGTACTGACATCAAAGTTTGTGAAACAGTGAAAATTACAGATGTGGCTATGGATATCATGGTGTTTTGCCTGTAGTAGCTGAAATGTAAAGGACAGAATTATATAATTATTGACTGGGAATTTTGGTTGGACAGGAGTTTGGAAATGGAAAATAAGCATAAGTTCTTCCATGAAATTTTTTATATATAAGTAGTGCAGTATTACATGGCTTGCATTTGTAAGGGAATGGAAATGAACTTCCCATTTTTAAGGAGCTGAAGACTTTACTTTTATATATTTTTACAGTGTTTTAATATGGAGATATCTTTGAACAAAATTTACTTAGTTTAAGGGTATTATTAGTACCTTTTCTTTAGGCCAGTATGTATACCAGCAAATACTTGATCTGTATTGACAAGCTTGTCAAAAGTCTCACACATTTACCATTGCACTGTCATTTTGTTATGTAACCATAAATTTTTTTTGTCATTGCAAGCCACATGGAAGTTTTACATTTTGTTGAAATTAAAAGTGGATCAAGTTTGAAACCGTACATACATATTCGCATGCAGATCAGAATCTGTTTTTTAATGCTATTCATGTAATTGTTTCAGGCCTGTGACTCACCAGCATGAGACCTCAAGTGACTCATCTGCCATAAGAGGAAGGAGTTGTTGCTGTACAGTCATAACAAGCAAGTTACAGCATTTCTCTGATGTCCATTATGCTGTCCTGTCATCCATGCTTGGCTCTTTCAGATAGCCTTTTCTCTTGCGACTATGCTGTCAGGATCTCTGCATGTCAAGACTGAAGTGAAAATCTGTGCATGCCAAAACTGAAGTGAAAATCTCAAATGAGACCTCAAGTGACCCATCTGCCATAAGAGGAAGGAGTTGTTGCTGTACAGTCATAACAAGCAAGTTACAGCATTTCTCTGATGTCCATTATGCTGTCCTGTCATCCATGCTTGGCTCTTTCAGATAGCCTTTTCTCTTGCGACTATGCTGTCAGGATCTCTGCATGTCAAGACTGAAGTGAAAATCTGTGCATGCCAAAACTGAAGTGAAAATCTCAAATGAGACCTCAAGTGACCCATCTGCCATAAGAGGAAGGAGTTGTTGCTGTACAGTCATAACAAGCAAGTTACAGCATTTCTCTGATGTCCATTATGCTGTCCTGTCATCCATGCTTGGCTCTTTCAGATAGCCTTTTCTCTTGCGACTATGCTGTCAGGATCTCTGCATGTCAAGACTGAAGTGAAAATCTGTGCATGCCAAAACTGAAGTGAAAATCTCAAATGAGACCTCAAGTGACCCATCTGCCATAAGAGGAAGGAGTTGTTGCTGTACAGTCATAACAAGCAAGTTACAGCATTTCTCTGATGTCCATTATGCTGTCCTGTCATCCATGCTTGGCTCTTTCAGATAGCCTTTTCTCTTGCGACTATGCTGTCAGGATCTCTGCATGTCAAGACTGAAGTGAAAATCTGTGCATGCCAAAACTGAAGTGAAAATCTCAAATGAGACCTCAAGTGACCCATCTGTCATAAGAGGAAGGAGTTGTTGCTGTACAGTCATAACAAGCAAGTTACAGCATTTCTCTGATGTCCATTATGCTGTCCTGTCATCCATGCTTGGCTCTTTCAGATAGCCTTTTCTCTTGCGACTATGCTGTCAGGATCTCTGCATGTCAAGACTGAAGTGAAAATCTGTGCATGCCAAAACTGAAGTGAAAATCTGTGCCTCTCAAGACTGAAGTGAAAATCTGTGTATATCAAGACTGAAACGAAAATCTGCGCATGTCAAGACTGAAGTGAAAATCTGGGCATGTCAAGAAAGAAGTGAGAATCTGTCCATGTCAAGACTGAAGTGAAAATCTTTGCATGTCAAGATTGAAGTGAAAATCTGTGGATGTCAAGACTGAAGTGAAATTCTATGTATGGCAAGACTGAAACATGGCGGGAAGATAATACTGCAGTATTACAGGAAGAAATGTCAGTTTGATGTGTGTGACCATGTCAGGCTGATACTTATTTGTCCAACAAACTGCCTCTCTTGCTTTACTATGTTTGCATGTAGGAGGGTAACACATATGCATGATATCATCTGACTTGTGTTTTGCTTTGATGCTGTCTATGTGCAACGTTGGTTACTATCCACTTGCTTTTCTTTGTTGCGACTACATGTTTCAGCCTGACAGTCATCAGGTATGCAGGCTGTTGTGATCACAGAACCTGCTGCTTATTGTAATGCTATTCTATTTCTGTTAATGTAGAAGCCTCAGATTGCATCTTGTTACGTGGGTTAGTGATCTGTTTTTTGTTTTGGGTGTCATTGAGCTGCTGGTGTTTGCCTTATGGTTTTGTTTGGTTTTATTGGTTGTGGCTGTGTTGAATGTTCTTGCTGGGACAGGGGTTTCTTGTGTTGATGGCCAATCACAGCACAAAAAACATGTGCAGCTGAAGGACACCTGAATAAAAAAAAAAGCAGATGGTTAACCCAGATGCAGTCTGAGGCCTCCACATATCAGAAACACCCGGCTCAGTCAGTATACAGTACTGTCAGTTGAAAGGACATCTATTTAAACTTGGACTGGTAAATAGCTGCCGCTGTAAAAGGTGTCCTGACATGGATCACATGTCCTATTTGTGCCTGAAAATGTGACTGAATTACGATTTTGTTGCCTGGGACTCCAACTGAAGGAACCAGTTGAGTATGAAATGGCACCATTAGGCAAAGTACTGTGCTTTATTTGAGCTGCAGGATTGCTAGTGGGCTATGTTAAAAATGGAGTGTAAATAGATTGTAGACTGTCTCTTCATTCCAGCTCCTTTAATCTTATTCTGTGTATAAGGTGAATATTCATTAGGACAGCTGGTAAATAGATTCTTAAGGGTTCTGACAGTGGTGTATAACACTCAGAATTACTGGGTTTTTGGAAACAGACCCAGTTTCCAAAATGCTGTGTTTTCTAGTTTTTATAATAGTGCACAATGGACAAAGTCCAAAAACTCAGTAATTCTGACAGTTGATAGAGTTTGTAGAAATTGTTTTTTGACCTTCAGTTTCAGTTTGATGACATTAACTACTGAACCACTGCAGCTAGACATGTGAAATTTGGTACAGAGATAGATCATAAAACATACTTGCATGTCATGTTTATTATGATGATGGAGGTAGTGTGGAACTCTTGAGACTATTTGACAAGTTAATGTAATCAGTCTGTATTTAAGTAACATGTTCTTCACAAATTATTGTGATGATGACAACAGCAGGAGCAATGATAGTAATAATAATTATATGGCATTAACATAGATGTATAGGACTAGATGTCTATGCAGAAAGAAAGTATGAATTTTGCTCTGAACTTCCTTGTTTGAATTAATGTCTCATCATGTTGGATTTCCTGTCATAGGTCATGTACTTCAAGAAGAATAAATATTTGAGGGTCATTATGGAAAAAAATGTAATTAATCCGAATTGGGAGGTGCACTTTTTAATATTTTTTTATTGTATGGTTTAAATGTCACCCCTGATATATTATTTCTACATTTAAGTTCTGCTCAGTTTTGCTGAACAAACTTAAGAAAAGGGTTTCTTCAAAATCTGTTCACTGAGAAAGAAGCCATTACAGTGATGAAGGTGTGGGAAGTTGATAACATGATGTTCATATACATGGGAAGCTTGTGTGTGCTTGCTTGGAAAGCTAGAGAACTGCACGTGACAGTAATTCTAATCGTCTCATCTCTGCCTTCCTTCATTTGAAGCATTGTGTGTTAGTAGGAAGCATGCTGAGCTAAATTAATGTACAGTTTCTCATTTCCATCATAAGTTTAACAATGCTATAAATGTAGTAATCAATATGTAACAGGAATTGTTCATTTATGGAATGTGTTCACTTGTATTCATGAGTTTAAAAGGCAGAATACCAGTTGGGTCTTTCCTTTCTCCTTTCTCTTTTATGCATATTTAGCATTTTTTCTGTGGCAGAACTGTGTCTGTATTCCTGTTGTTGTAGGTTGCAGTTCTTGCAGACAGCACGCATTTTGATGGAGTGTGATATGGGAGGTCCCTAATGAAACCTGTCTAAAGCATTACATCAGCTTCCACTTCGGTTGGTCTAAATCACTTTCATATACGTCATACAGAAGTATTAGACGTTACAAATATTCGGTAAAGTTTTTGTTTGTGTGTGAAATGGACTCTGTATGCTTGCACCTTACCTCTCTTTTGCAATTTTTTATTGAATAAAGTACAGCCGATGATGTCTCTTTCCCGAACCTCATCCTGTAAACTGTGGCTCTCATATCTGCATGCACTATCAGCATGTGGCAGTGTGGATTAATTGACGGGCTTTTCTAAACACCTCGTAACTCGAAGGACTGTGGTAGTCTTAGTTGTGAGGCCATGTAGACTGGTGAATGTTACCGCCACTCTGGAGGAACCTGTAAAGTGATAAGACCCTGAAGATGGAGGCCTCACATTCATCAGAAATGTTGGTAACATTATACAAGACTACATGGTGTCACATCCCAGAAGACTGAAATCTTCATGGTTACTGCCATGGGAACATCAGATCTCAGCTGAATACACAGTCATGAGTAGATTAGTTGGTTTTGATTTGACATGGGAGTTAGGTGTAGGATAGCAGCCCTTGAGAGTTGCATGTTATGCGTTTTAGTTAATACTTCTGAATTGCATGGTGACAGTGAGGAGGCTACGGCTGGTACTTGGAATGAAGAGTACAGCATTCTGAGTTGTAGCAGCACGTAGTTCGGAGACAGCCTGGCGTTTTGGAGGTGACATATTCTTCCTAAACATTGGGCCGTCTCCAGACTACACGTTCAAACGCAGAACCCTGAACTCCTTATAGATGTTGCCATGAGAACATCAAATCAAACAAGGTACTTACAATATTTGTGTAAGAAACATAAGTTGCGGCCTGATTGCGGAGGTAATTGTAAGTATCAATTGGATAGGAACTGCTGCAGCTTTGAGGGTTGGTGGGGAGATGTTAAGGCATTTTTCTAATTGGTACAGTTAGAAATTTCTTGGCAGCTAATTCCTCAATACTCTGACAAGCCATAGTGGACAGTCAGGTATTGTACTGAAGTAGAATTCTGAAATGTAAGTGTGTGGAAGTATGATGGGTTGCAGCATAGTGAAAGCAATATGAATCACTTTGTTGGATTGTAACATAATCCATGCAGTGGTACTTGAAAATTCTGTTAGGGTTTACAATATTTGACAATATTTTACATTCACTGTATCCAATAATTATATAGACTGAAGCAAATGTATGTGAGGATATTTCTATCCTTCTGGGTGGGATATTTGTAATTTATTTTAATAAATACTCTTCAGAGCTGATTATGTGTTTGCTTCATGTTTTAGGAAAACTCATTACAAGTACACCCTGAGGATGTCTGTACAGATGCAGAAGTAAGGGGAAAATAAGAATTTTACACTCACTGTCAAAAGTTTTATTTGATAGATCCATACAGGTCAGTCGAAGCACAGTAGACCACTGTAGGTCGCGGTGCAAGGGCCGAGAAGGTCTACCCCCTCATACAGGTCGGTCATATTTAGAAAGTCGGCTCCTCTGATGCAGGAGAGATTTATCTGCCACAAGCCTTGCGTTGTCACAGAAAAATGCAGATCAATATAAGCAGAACATTAATGTCCCAAACGGAGTTTGAGGCCAATTGTAGAATGCCTGATACTATGCGTCTATGACAATGCAGCCAGTTGGTTCAAGCCTTCATCCTCGCTGATACATATTTCTGCTTTACAGTGTGCTGTCAGGAAGGACTGGAATTGAAGGACCCCAGCTGCATGCTGATGGGTTTAATACAACCAATAAAGAAATAAAAACAAGTAACGTCCCTGTCCTCAGTGCAGCACTGCACTCAGAATATGTACAGGGTGTAAATAAAATGAAGTATACGAGAACATATAAAACAGCATCTGCAGAAGAGTCGCATTGTAAATTCAGTTAACAAATAATTTGAAAATATTTCAGAATTTTAATATGTGGGATGAAAAACATGAAAAAAATAATTGGATTGGGAGTAAATTATAGATATTGTTGTCCTTTTTTTAAAAAATCCTATCTTGAATGTTTCAGAACACCAAAAAATAAAATTCAGTAGCATGTTGAAAGAATACATGTTGGTTGTGTTTATGGAGGTAAGTAAAAATGCTTTCACTTCGATGCATAAAGAGCTGCAGTTGCATTCCCTGTGAACATGAACATGGAACCTTCAGAAGGTAAGTTCGCTGCCCCATCCCTGAGACCCACACATCTGTTGGTTGAATTTGCATATAAAATTATATGTGCAGTGAATTTACAACTATCCTCAGAGCCTGACTGTTTGAAGAGCCCACTTTATGATCAGAATAAACGTAGAATAAATCCTTACAAGACCAGTCATCGTACATGACTCAATATGAATGGTATGTATAAAGCTTAAGACTGGCTGTACCAAACTGTTTATCCTGTACTGAATACATCAGTCATGACAAACACTGGATGAATGATCAAGCATGACAAACATTAGCTCAGTGGTACAGCAGTTGGCTTCCGTGCATGAGAACATGTGTTCAAGTCCATGTGGAATGGGAATAGAATGAAGTAATGACATCATGAAGGGGTGGGGCCAAGTTAATATACATGAAGTTAATGCTTAATGTACAATTTGCAGGTACAGTAGGAAATGCAAACAAAACCCTGTATTTTTTGTTCCAGTAACGTTCAACAACCTTCAAGAGCACAGCACTGCCACAGCCCCAAGCTTTTAGCCTGGGATTTGATAGTTTGGCTGCAGATGTAGCTGTATTTCTGAAGAAGGGATGCAGTAGCCAATCAGCATCAATGGTCAGAGCCAAGTTAATATACACGAATCTAGTGCTAATTGCATGACTCAAAGGTATTGCAAGAAATGTAAACAAATCCCTAAACCGTCTAAACTTGTAACCTCCAAAAAGTCTTCAAGAGCTCATTTATAGCCACAGTTTAAAACTGTTAGATGAGAATTACAGAGCAATGTTGCAGATGAACGTTCATGTGTTAGACAGGATATGAGGATAAACTTTGTTTCCTTGATTCACCATCTGTTAAAGCCAAGTGGTCAATCCTCATTCAGTCAAGTCTTTTTATTTATAATGAAATGACTGGTCTGAGGAAGATCATTTATTCTGTATGTCTCCTGTGAGGCATCAGCTGACTGCTTGACCACAACTACCTTAATCTCAGGGGTAAAGCACCATTTCCATGTGCAGCAGCCCCAAGGTTTAGTCAACAGGTTTCATGACGATACTTTTCTTACATTACTCTACTTGGTATTGGGTCTGAAGCTTGCTTTCAGTGTAAAGCAGATGAGCCAAGTGGATGAGAACTGAGCAGTTGGCTTGCAAAAAGTGGCTAATTGAAGAAATGAAGTTAATCCTCATACCCTATCTAGGAGATAAATGTTCAAGTATGGCAGTGATGTTTAATCCTCATCAGAAAGTTCACAGCTTTGGCTTGAAATATGCTCTTGAAGGTTTTAAAGGTTATAAGATCAAAACAATCAGGGTTATATATACATTTCTTGTATCTTCAAATTATTTGCATTTAGCACTACATTCATGTATTTGTACATAGACTTGGCCCCTGACCATTGATGCTTATTGTCTACCGTAACTCATTTTCGGAAATATGGCAACATTTGCAGTCAGCTGCAACATGTCTTGCGTTCTTGAATGTCCTTCCAGGTTTTGCTTACATTTCCTCCTGTACCTATAAGTAGTGCAGTAGGCACGGAATTCATGTTGACTTATGTGTCCCCGCCCCTTAATGTTGGTTGGCTACGCAGTGACAGTCTTGGGGGGGGGGGGGGGGTTCCGATGATAACTCCTTTCCCCCCCCTGGAGGCGTGGTTTCGTTTGCCGTACCTATAGATAGTGCAGTAAGCACTTAAGCGGCCCCGCCCCTTAATGCTGATTGGCTACTCATTACTCATGGTCGTGAAATTGCCGCATGTTCGTGTTCCTGCCGCGGTGCATCGGAAAGTACCGGGTTTTTGTTTACATTTTGCCGCGGTGCAACGGAAAGTAGCCGGTGCTAACGAAAAGTTCCGGGGGTTGTTTACATTTCTTGCTGTATGCACAAAATCTGCAAAAGTACTGCCCTGCTTCGGGTTTTCCAAATAACCTCCGGGTTTTCACAGAAACCAATCAGGTTTTCAGAAAAACCTTCCGGGTTTTCCAAGTAACCGGGTTTTGTTTACATTTCTTGCTGTATGCACAAAATGTGCTCAAAGACTGTCTTGCTCCGTGTTTTCAAAATAACCGAAGACCATTAAAACGAAAAAGTACCGGGATTTTTAAATTTAATTCCTCATTTGCAATCAATACTGTGCTCCTGAAGGTCGTCCAAGGTACCAGGTTTTCCTGATAACCGAAGGCCATCAAAACAAAATTATCGGGTTTTCCTGCTAACCAAAAACCATTAAAACGTAAAGTACCTTTTTTTTTTTAATTTAATTCCTGATTGCAGAAATTTTGCCCAGCTTCATCCATAGCTTCTGTAGTGTGCTGAAATGTTAAAGAAAAAATCTGTTGATGGAGCTGGAATACTGTGGGTGGTAAAATGTTGCCTCTTGAAGACTTTACTCATTACACATAGAAAACTGCTGTCATCCTTGTTAGTAGTAGCGGAATATTTTAATGATACATCAGTCATGGATCAGTAGGTTCAGGGAGGGGAGCATACACAGACAGCAATGTGACCTCATAGTCCTGTTTTAAAGGAAAAAAACTGACACGAGCTGATAAAATATTCTTGGGCTATCAGCCATATCTGTTGATAGTGAGAGAGATGGTCCCTGTGACATCAGTGATAGTTAACCAATTGACACGGCTGAAAGCCAGAGCAGATTTCATCCACTGTAGCTGCCATGAAAGCTTCATATCTTACGTTTAATGTGAGGTTTACACTGTAGATAAAAGGTAAAGCAGGGTAATTTTATTTCAGATGTACACAGTATTTGTTTACATGCCACAGGATATTGAAAATGTGATTACCCATACATGAATAGACAGCTTATAGCATTTTTCCTCAACAGGTATAAAAAAACTGGCACTTTTAATATAATATCACTGTAAGAGACAGAAGTTATGGCTGCCATAGGTATTCTGTGTTCCACATAATGATGTGATACAATGGCAAGCATGCTCTGTACACAGGATGCCACTGGAGGTTAAGCAACAAATATTATAATATGCATTTCAATTAACATTATGAAATTTACAATTTCACAATGTGGGATATTTCATTGGGAAGTCTATCTGTCTTCTCCAGGTGACAGAGCTTGTACAAGGGCATGCTGAAAGTAATGGCTCCTGATTTCTCTTCCATAACAGCAATTTCATTGAAACAGAAATGGCTACCTTCCTTGAACTTTGTTCCTTATTCTACACAATTACTTCTCAAACAACCACTTCTACAATCCAGACACAGCTGACATATTTGATGTACAGGTATTCATCAATTAACACACTAGTTGTATTCCCAAAAGGAGTCACTGGGGGTGCAAAAACATAAATGACATCAGGTAGGCCACACTTTTTCTTCTCCCTTGGCATTCCTCCTCCACGCCTGCACAGCATCCTAATCCTCCCTTCTTCTGACCTCTCTTGATGGGCCAGCAAGCAGTTCATACTAAAGCAAGTGTTAATAGGTCTAAATTAATTGACTGCATTAAAATGAAACAACATGTTTTGAACTTGCATATACCAAGGAGTACCTGTACTTATGTAAGTGGGGCATGACAGAACCACATTTTCGCCACTGTCTTGTGGAGGCATTACTTTTCAGCATACCCTTCCAGGATGAGAGCTGCTAATACCGAAGCCCACCAGTTGACACATCATGATCCACAGTCTTATAACGAATTTTGTCAAGATCTGGTTTAGTTTCTTTCTTCCACCATTTTTGCTTTGCCAAGCGGATGCTTTCCAGCATCTACCAACAAAAATATTGTATGTATTTGTGTTCAATTCTTTATTGGAGTCCATCACAACACAACAACATAACAGTCAAGGTTAAAATTACCTAGCTACATGTTTTGGTTTTTAAAGCCATCATCAGGCAAAACACATGATTACTATATTCACACATTATTAGTAATCATGTGCTTTGCCTGATGATGGCTTTAAAGAGACCAAACATGTAGCTAGCTAATTTTAACCTTGACTGTTATGTTGTTGTGTTACAACGGACTCCCGTAAAGAATTGTCTATAATAACACATCAGGATGCATGAAATGAAATGTATTTGTGTTCCCTCCATCTGAGCTACAAGTCCTTGATGTAACTTTCCTTACAAAACTGGAAAGCTGTATAATCATCAAGTTCCTTGGTGGGGACACTATGTGCTATAACACTGTGTTGTAGTTGGCAGGCGGATACCAGGGTTCTGGTGAAACACACCACCCTGCAGTCTGATAGGTGGATACTAACGTTCTGGTGGAATGTGTGCCTCCATCTTTAGGATGACTCCAGATATCAGACATTTAGATTACGTACAGATGTTTGACCTGTTCCCATTCACGAATAATACTCATTGAAGCATCATGTTGTGTTTGCAGTGACAATATGAAATCAGTCATCCACAAACAACAGTTTGATTTGGCTGATGATATGGGATATGATATTGTGTAGGTTGGTAGAAGTTTAATGACATTTCAGAAGAACACATTGCCTTCAGCTTCAATTGTCCATCCTGAATATGGAGCAAGTATATATGTCTGCAGTGTTGGTTAAAACACATTTTGGAGCATTACATTTCAGAAGACATATTCTCAATAATATTTTTCTAATTTTCATTTCATGCATCCTGTTGTGTTATAATATACAACTTCTTTATTACAAAAAAGAAAATAAAAAAATTATAAAAACCAAGGACTGACTCAATGATGTAAAACATCAACAGAAGAATTTTATTCTTGTGTTATACTATAACTTTTGTTTTATATAATCTAATTTATTGTATTTTTATGTCAAGTATTTTATATAATTAATAATACTGTATCCAATTTTACTAGTTATGCGGTTCAGTGGTCTATATATGTTAACCATGTATTTGCCTTATGCTGGCTATTAATTGCCGGAACACGTAGCAGAGCCAAAACTAGGCACTAATCTTGATATTAGTTATGTTGTGACAATTGTAATAAAGAAGTTGGGCTCAATAATACTGCTCAAGTCAGGATGTGATAGAATCTATGTAGCAGAATTCTACACTTATGAAGGTGATGGTACGTTCCTCCAAAATGTAGGCAGCCTCCTACCCACCTACTCAGCATCACTTCCAAATTCCTCATGATCACTGCCCTGAATACCTTATATCTCATACGTAGCACTGGTGTTTCTAGATGACTGTACTTCCATTTATGAACAACAAATACTGGCACACTACAACAATATAGTAATTGTGTTGTATTGATTAAACTGAACTGTGATCAGTTCAGATGAATTAATTTACATAATGAAATTATTTCTCAGAGCGTTGTTTGAACAAGTCTGCATCACAGTAGTGAGTCTGTTAGGAAATATGTACAAATTAATAAGAAATGGCAAGTCTACCACTGCAACCATTTGAAATTATCAGCCTGACGCTTCAGTGGCCCTGCCTGGGCTCCAGCTGCACGTGGCCACCTCAAGTTTACAGTGAAACTTTGAGTGCATACAAACATATCATGAAATGAAAACATATTTATATTATTTTTCCTAAAGGTGATATACATTTAAATACTACACCAAGTGAAACTATTTTATTGTACCTTTCTCAACAGGACACTGACCAATAAAGAAACAAAATCTTCAGTTTCTTTTGATAGGTGTGTCATATTTTTTGTCTGAAAAATTAATCACCTATGGTAAGGACAGATATTAACGACCATCAATAACCATCAGCCGACTGCTCTGAGTGAGAATGTTACAAACTGAAATCAACTCCACACATAATTCCAACCTTGCAAGTAACCACACTAACTGAACAACACATTCTGCATGCACCTAATGGAGTAGGTGTACATGTTTTAACTTATAATCCCTATTTCATGAAGAAATACACAAATGTAACAACTTTTGTAATAATGTGATTTCAAGTAAATTTCTATTAACAAAGACTAAAACATATTGAAACGGTCTTAAATAATTGGGTGGCTGGAATGAATGTCACTGAGGACATCAACTTACATTTATACATTACTGATATAAAGAAAAATGTAAGTTTGGGAACACCTGGAGTCCATCTGTGTACCTTCTTATGTGAAGATTAGTAACACATCAGGATTACAAATCAGAGTTCAGATAATTTCCAGCACCAACTTATATATTCATTTTGGTTCAAATCACCACCACCACCTCCAAGAAGATGCCTGAAGATCAGTTTTACACAGTTTCATGGCCTGATATTATTGGCCAAGTCTATGTATCTTTCAATTTTTCATATACCTACAGAAGACTCCTGATCATCTGCATGTGGATTAAACACAGAACTTTTATAACCGTATATAAGATTTTTATGGGGGCACGCAGTAGCATAGTTGGTTGAGGGGCTATACTACAACCTGGAAAGTCGCGGGTTCAAGTTCCGATGAGGTCATTGGATTTCTTTCAATTAACCTAATCCTCAGCCTCTAACAGGAATGAGTACCAGGAATTAAATAATTTTTCTGGGGGGTAAAACGTGGCCGGCGCGTAAGGCTAACAACCTTACCGCCATTTTTGAGCCGACTGTCTAGATAATGTCGGACCATCAATGTCTCACAACCCTATGGGCCTTCACGGCCTCTTACAGGGATAGCTTTACTTTTTTTATATATATAAGACTTTTAACCATCGTCCACTGTTTTTGATAAAGTTGTTTTTAATATTTCATCCTTTACATGTCTCAGAAGGATATTATCAACACACATGAAGACTACTGTTACCACGTCACAGATATAAATGTTATGATTTATGATTGTTAGATGTTTTAACAAATCAATATACATCCTAATATATTAGTTAAGAGACACAAAATTTATATCTATGACATCGTAACAGTAGCTTCCATGTGTGTTGATAATATCCTTCTGAAGATGGTTGTTTTGACCTAAACATGTAAAGGATGAAAATTAAAAACAGCTTTCATCAATCAGACTGGACAGTGGTTAAAAACCTTATATACAGTTGCGAGTGTGACGGGCCAGGATGAACCAAGTTATTTTTATAATCCATTACAAATGTTTCAATAATATATCAGTGGTACTTTACAATGACTTGCAGTAGAGTGTACGTCTGATTCTGTTGTTTGTATAATTTTACAGATTTTCATACTGGCCTATCACTGAACAAGGGTTTCTTTCGTCTTTTGGCAGGATACATGTCACAATGTTCAGTGGCCAATTTGCAGGCTTGAATGCAGCATGGATGGGGGGTGTACAAATATCGCTATTGCAATCAAGAAACGCCACATATATAATTACTTAATGTCCGATTTAGTTCAGAGGCTGTTCATCTGGCTCAGGTCCTATGAACAAGCAACTGCTCACTAGAAATTGTACTTTTCAGCTTACAAGTGCCAACAGCTGGCACAGGAGAACCTCTGTACTCATTTGAATGTGACATGAACTCTGTGGCCTTCCTTCCAGTATATACAGGCACTATCGGCAGCTGCAAGCTGTGTCTTACTTAAAAATAGAGATGATATTCCAGACAGTAACAAACAATAAAAATATAAGTCCACACTAAATTTCAGAGTTGGTGCCAGCATATTTCATGAAGAATTTGCAGTTTTGTTTTCCAGATGGTTGCCCTGAAAAAGAAAGAAACAAAGAAATTGTGGTAATGCTCATGTTAAACTAGCAGATTTCACAAAAACCTCAGAGCTGGTTTTATTTTGAAAATTGAATTTCATATTCTGCATCAAAAACAGAAATTTTTAGTAAAACTTCAGCATACCAAGAAGGAAAGTCTTATTCATCAATCTATCATTAAAATGACACTTTATGGTCTACAGTTGAGAAATTATAACAAAACAAGTGACATGCTCAAAGAAAAACAAATATTTACTTTGCGGCAATATAATCACTAAATGACATTATCAACATTACTATATGGCGGCTCATTTACTTAGCCTTTAAGTTAAAGCTATGAATTACTGTTATTTGTAATGTCAAGATAAGACAAATTTTGAATTGAGTTCACTGGTTTCATCTAGTAATCTGTGTTCTCAGGTCTAAGTCTGTCAGGTAATGAATACAATTACTTTCTCTTTGTTAGAACTGGCTGTTCTTTTGAATGAATTGAATCAGTGGCAGATAAAAAGCATACTCATGTTTGTTTACCCTCATTAGGGACCAAAAATGGAGACTGTGTTTCTTTCTGTTGCTGCTGCAAGACGCTAAGCATTCCAAGTGTGTGTCTGTTGAGCTCATCTGTTTCATCAACTTGAAACAAAATAAAAAATATGTCAAAATGAAAATTAATCCCATTGAGCCTGACACCTCAGATGGGGCACAGTCTGTTTGCCACTAAACATGCTAAAGTGTTTGTAGCACCTGTCACTGATTATCCTAACAGCTGGCCAAATTTTAAGTTGGTCTGTGCTTGAAGTCATCAATTTCCCCCAATTTCCAACCCATGGTCTCTGTCTGTGTCTACTAGCCTAATGACAATTGGACAAATATGCTGTGTGTTTTATGAGCAGGCTCTATCTGACTTGCCGCAAAGTTGCGGTCTTCCCATCTGTTCCGAGACTGAAGCTACTGAGTATGTTTGTAGTCAGCAGAAAATGAACGCACAAAAAGTGTAGACGGATATCTATCTCCTATATGGAAACATGGACATGTAATGATAACTACAATTTACTTCCTTATGGAGCACCATTTAGAAATAGCATCAAATTGTTTCAGTCTCGCATGCAGTATGTCCTTNCAGAAGACTGCTTTCTTCATAGTCACCGCCGCGAAAGCCTCAAATCTTACATAGCATCAAATGGTTTCACAGTCTCACGTGCAACACATCTTTCTATAAAACTTTCTGAAAATTATTGATTATATATTTCAAACTATAAGGCCATCATCAGGTGTTTGAAATTATAAATTATAAATGAAGAAACTGCTGTGCTTCCATATTGTGGTTGTTGGTTATTACTGTGTGGTCCCTTCTATGCACACCACTGTGTTACACAGCATAACACAACAGGCAGAACAACTGGCCACTTCATATATACATGCGCATAGAAGGGACTGCACAGTAACTACAAATATTCACAAAATGGAAGCACAGCAGTTTCCTCATTTATAATTTATAAATTTAAAACACCTAATGATGAAACTATAGTTAGAAACGTGTAGCGAATAACTTTTAGTAAGTTATATAGAAGGATGTGCTGCACGTAAGACTGTGAAACCATCTGCTACTAAATGAAGTGCACCAGGGTGCTACAGTATGGTACTAGTTACAAATAACAGCTCATGACCAGGTCTGGACTGATACTCACTCCTTCCTGTTCATTCTTCTTCATTCGTTTCTCTACTTTATTTCTGTAGGTCCCTTTCCATGAAGTTTATGAGACAGGTATCTGAAATTAGAAAGAGAGACAACATTAAAGTCACTGTACTTTAGGATCTGACAGAATGTGTCCATGTTTCCAAGTAACATGTAACATCCTTTCATCCTGAAGTTCCAGCCAGAAAATAGGGGTACGATCCATATTTAGTTCAATCTGTTATTCTGTGAAATTATAAAACTATATAACATTCTGTTTTCCAACACAACTTACTCATACAGCAAACAACCAGAAACGGGCATGCTACAGACCATTAAAGTCGCAGGGATTCAAATGATTAACACAAATTATTTTAATAAAAGTACAATGGGACAGTAATAATTTTGAGGCATGTTTCTTCTTAATTCATACGACCTATCTGCAAAATGAACCGCTCTGCCATAGTCTATGCCTACACAACAAACTGTATCAAGTACAAAGTATTTACACACTCAAATGTCACAATATGTTGGCTACTTAGAAACTGTCACATACAGAATGGGACAACAGGAAGTCAAAACAACACACACATATATATATATATATATAACAAAATGTTCTACTGATAGCATCTGAGGCAGAACACAATAATCTCACCCCCCATGATAGGGTAATCATGATAGTGCTGGTCAGCATAGGGACCCTACAATTTAACATGGAGGGGTATCCTTTGTATTCCCAAGTTTTACCTCTGCTAGATGTGAAGGCATCATCTGTAAGCAGAAAAATAAGTACACAGATGGGAGTGAGGATCAACTCAGAACCTTCTGAATGGGTATAACAGCTTAACCCTGGACCATTTTCTTAAGGACCTACTTTAAGTGGCTCTAGTGTTGCTCCCAGCTCAGTCGCCATGTTAATATGGCTGCTGGTAGACAACTGAAAGAACATGGGGAGTGGCACGATGACAATACAGAGTTTCACATAAATCCATCAGTTGGTTCACACATTACGGTGAGGTTGGCACACATGGATGATAAAGACGATGGTCCCATAATCATGCCTGTTTCCACTGAAAAGCCGCTTCCTCCTTGGAATTTTTTTTCTTAAAATGGCAATTACTGTGAGAACTTTTTTCCACTAAACAATGTACTACCATTGGACAGGCTACCCTCCACAGTGCGACCTATCTTAAAAACAGATATGCTGTTAGCTGTGCTAACCTAAAAGCCTCCTTTGCATTAAGCACATGTCCATCATCATCTGTGTAGTCAAGTTTAACATTTGGTCTGTAGCCCTCCTCCTCCTCTTTGAAGTCTGAGGTCAGACCACTGTAGCGCTCGCGATGCCCAAACTTCTCATCATCTCTGAAACAATAAAGCAATGCTGTACGTTAAATTCCTTAATTAGTCTTGCTTGCTTACTTCGTCCTGTCTTGACCATTATGTACACCTCCCTAATACAGTGCGTACAGTCAAGTGCGCGCCGCGGCTGCAATTTGCCGTGAGTCATACCACCGCAGAACGGATGCAGTCGCGGGGAGGAGTTGCAACTCCTTCCCGCGACTGCATCCGTTCTGCGGTGGTATGACTCACGGCAAATTGCAGCCGCGGCGCGCACTTGACTGTACGCACTGTACTTGAGTGGGTCAATCCCGACAGACGAGACGAGATTTGCAATTCAGTTATAGAGGAAGTGACAAAAGTATTCAAAGCTCACATATTCTTTACCCTTCAAAATCTCCTACTCTACTCCACAATCAAAACAAGCGGCCGATCCCTGTGCCCATGACAACTCTCTTCCCTAAGGCCTGCTGCAGAGAAGACTTGACGGCTACAGGACAACTTTAGGACACTCAGTCAGCAGCCACCTGCTCATGCTGGTTTCTCACTTGCACATATTTATACCCTGAAGATGGAGGCGATACATTCCTTCAAAACGTAGGTTTACACAATATCTATACAGTGCCACATCCCAGAAGATGGCATTCTCTATGAGTGACATTCATTACATTACATACCAAGACACTATACAGAAAAAAAAGTAAAGTTATCCCTGTAACATACCGTCAAGGTTCCACATTTTCTAGACAATCGGCTCACAGATAGCAGTGAGGTTGTCAGCCTTATGCGCCAAGCTATCCCTGTTAACAGACCATGGAGGCCCATAGAGTTGTCAGACTTTAAGGCTCCCACATTTTCTAGACAGCCTTACGCGCCAAGCTATCCTTGTTAACAGACCATGGAGGTTGTGAGACTTTAAGGCTCCCACATTTTCTAGACAATCGGCTCATCGATGGCGGTGAGGATGTCAGCCTTATGCACCGCCCGCACTTTACCCCCCACAAAAATTCCTTGTACTTATTTCTGTTAAGAGGCTGAGTTGACCCCAAAGCCACAGTGCATCTGGAAGAATTAGGTCAATTGAAAAAAAATTAATGACCTCATCAGGACTTGAACCCACGACCTTCCAACTTGTAGTATAGTGCCTCAACCAACTATCCTACTGCTACTAATATTAAACAGTACTGATTAATGTGTTTGTATTAAAACCCCTAACAAAACTGCAGTATACAATTAAATATGGTACAGCATTTCTGAAATCCTTAAAATATAAATGTACAATTAAAACTAATACAAAAGTGCCAGGGTCTCTTAATTTGAATCGGCCTATGTTGTACATAAAGAATCTGCTAGTGACTCACCAATTTCAACTTCATTCCAAGCTCCACGTTTGCCTCCTTCCCGATGTTTCTTCCTTTCAATCATTTCCCTCTCAAAGCCCTGTAAGGTAAATTTTGTATGAGATTAGCAAGATGCAAATGCGCAGCCCAAAAATTACCAATTCATTACCTTGAGATAGAACTGCTGACCCACCAACCACTGTACAAAAAATTACTGCACTGTAAAGTACTGACTACACTGTGTATGATTTGAGCTTTTGACAGCAGTGGTTTTGAAGAGTTCTGTCATCTGGGATATAATGTCGTGTAGTCTGTCGAAAGTCAACAGACATTTTGCAGAAACATGTCGCCTCCATCTTCAGGGTTGAAGAATAAACCAAGCAAGAAACCAGCGCTGGCAGGTAACAAAGCCAAGCTTCCTACCTGCTTCATGCTGGCTTCTTGTTTCATTTATTCTTTGACCCTGAAGATTCAGGTGACATGTTCCCCTGGAAATTCAGATGATACCCTAGAGGACGGAATTCTTCTGACTATACTGATCATCTTGAAACTTCTTTGTCAAAATATCTTTTTAATATCATAGTATGCTTTAAAGTTACAGATCTATTAGAAATATACTCTCATTCTGCCAAGCAATGTACAGCTGCCAAACTAATTCTGAGTTTGCAGTGAGAATACTGTGACAATTAACATTCAATTGACTTTGCAATGAATAAAATTACAAGAACTATTGGTTTTTCATTCAGTCATGTTCTGAGCTATTTATTCATCCCTATTTCAATTTCACATATAATTCCTAGTAGCGTCTTTTCTACCCTTGTGTCATGCACATGGCACAGGGAGAAAAAAAATAAGATATGAAAAAAGCCTGGGTTGAAATTCTTACAAAGGAGACTAAGAAAAGCACAATCCTCTGGGAAGTAACACAGTGTAAGTCAACTGACATTCCTTCCAAATACTTATGGACTTTACCACTTTATTCCATTTGTCAAGAAGAAGGAAAAAGTTCTACCATTTCAACTATCACATTCTTATTGTTCTAGGATCTTTTATTGGATGTTTCCAATTCTGTACTCAGTTCAGTGATTTATATATCCATTATCACGAAATTCAACTGCAATTAAAGTATTTTCAAATTCTGTTGCAGCTGCAGTAAATAACTATAGATGGGCAATGGACTATATCCAGTGTTGACACATGCTAAACCAAAGTGCCCTTACCAAATCTGCAGATGGTTGTATTGCACTCACAAGTAGTTCCTGAGTGTCCTCATCCCTGTTGCCAGCCAAACCATACATGGCGATGTCACCCAACATACGGCAGAATTCTGCTGTAGCATTCAGCACAATGGAACCACATTCCATGTTTCCTTCCGAGTTTCTCTCCAGTACTGACTCTGCCACCTAACAAACATCACAAATCACAAAGAGCTAAATTATGTAGCTATACAGCATTCTGTTTTGTAGTATCCATAAATGCAAAGCTGTCCTATGCTTAATTAGTTATACACTAGATGGAGGTGAGTCGCCAGCTCCATGCCCTCCCACACCTGGGGAGAGTGCCGCTGGTACCTATATGACAGGAGGCCATAACAGGTCTCAATAACCAAAATATGAGAAAGGATGGTAGCATAAAGAAATATACAGCTATCCCTGCAACATGCCGTGGAGGCCCGTAGGGGAGTGAGACGTTGAGGCTTCCATATTTTCTTGGCAGTCGGCTCACAGACGGCAGTGAGCTTGTCAACCTTACACTTCCGTCGCCCTTTAGCCCCAGTACAATCCCTGGTACTCATTTCTGTTAGAGGCTGAATCCACCCCATAGTACAGCTGGAAGGATTCTGTCAATTTAAAAATCCAATTACCTCACTGGGATTTGAACCCACAAACTTCTGGTTCATAGCAGAGTAAGAAAGAATGATGATGACTTAAATGTGACGATATGATTTACTGATTTGAGGCCCACCACAACAGACTGAGATAAATAATTTAACAGCCCTCAGGTTAAATCAGAACACGGTTTCTCCACAGTACAATGGCTTTGTATAGTAACCAAAGAGGAAACATCATAATGAGCTTTACTACAAAGTTCTGTGCACAGCCTATTACATACATTTTATAACTGGAACATATACCATATCTGTGTAGGAACTAAACACGGCACAGGATTCTGTAGCTATGGACAATTTCATCACCTCCCACCACATATCCATGGGGCTGTTCTTCTCTTGTCTCAGGGAGAAAAAGCAGAGGCAGGTGAGGGGAAGATGGCCTTGCCTGATCAAGAGAAATGTCCCGTACTACAGCAAAACATTTTTGAGAATGATTAAAAAGGAAATCTGCCGATGTGATGTACCTTTTCTATATTGTTCTCCGATTCTGTGAGAGCCTCCTGCAGCTTCAGTCTCCATGCTTTTTTGAGGGCTATCTGTAGCACCAGTTCGCTGTCATCAGGCTCACAATTGATGTTGGACAGTACTTCTTCTGGCGCTGAAAGTTGTTTCTGATTATTAGTAACATTCAGAACTGCCCCTGCACATTTCTTTTCATTATTTCACAACACACTTCGTAGCGGAAACTATATATTATCAAATGGCTGATGATTAGAAAATAATGTATTCAAGTCTTGGTGGTCACCTGATTAGGGATACTACGTCCAGCCAGCATTTGCCTGGAGGTCCTGCGAAAAACCATGAAAAACCTACGTCAGGTTAGCCAGATGTTCCAGCTGAGATTCATGAACACATGAAGCCAGTTCCCTTTTTTGAGTTCCAATTGTGGTGAATTCTCGTTGTGATGCAAATAATATGCGTCTGTACTTAGGGTCCGATTGGGCGTTTTAAGCTCATCTCTTCTTGTAGCAGTTTAATAATTTTTTGTGCTGATCTGAGTTCTATTATGGTCTTTTGTAGTTCTACTTTAAATTTATCACAACAAGCACTCGTTACTTCACTTGTTTCACTACTATTATTGATTAAAACTGGAGTTTCATCAGCATTAACCACCGAACACGCCGCCATTTTGGATATTATCATCGACTCGCGAATTACTTTTTCGGCTCTGAATAATTTAACACCAAAATTATTCAACTTACAAAATAAATTATGCTCAACATCACACAGCTCTCGTATGCCGAGTTCCATTAAAATACAAGAACAAAAACGGAATTAATTTTGACCTTTGAACAAAGATAATGAAATATTTGTACATTCTTAACTTCCTTGATAGCTTGATACTGAAAACTACCTCCTCAGCCAAAACACATTTGTATATCTCTAGCTGCATAAATAAATACATGCAACAGGGATATTTTACTTATAATTATCACATAAAAGAATATGATCTCAAGTCTGAAGTATATGGCTATGATATAATTGTAACATTATTGGTTATTCATTGTATCAGTCTTTATTTTCACCTCGTATAGTACTAGATTCTCTGTAAAATATCTTTTTATGGTGCAGAACACATAACCTTACAGAAGAAGTGCCTTGTGTGATCTGTTAAGGTCTCCACTATAGTGTTCCTAGTGATAATCCTTC